CTTTTAGTCATTGTACCACTGTCGTATGAGGAAGGTATTGCACTAATTATTATTTTTTTTCAATCGTTACTTTTATCTAGTAGTGAGCGTATTTTCATTAATGTTCAGGCAATCCTCACCTCACTGATGGAAAATATTTATCAGCATATCATTGTGAACGCACGATTGCTCAAATATAATAATTACATTTTAGTTTTAACCTGCTAAATGAATTTAAACTGTTAAAGTAACAATTGAAAACCAAATTTATAATCAAAATAAAAGCAACAAGAATTAATGAAGTCACAGTATGTCTGTATGTTTTTAATTCCTTTGCTATACCAATTTTGCGCGAAAAAGGGAGAGCTTTTATTGAGAATATTTGTTTCGTGTTAGTATTTTTATCGATTTTTTATTAATTATTGTAAGTTTTTATTCCTAATAGTAATGTTGTTAGAAGCAATTTAACAATATATCTTTATATAAATAGTTAAGCTAATTAAAGTAGTCTGTAGCTTTGTTTCAAATAAGTACAGTATACCCGTCTATCTTTTTAATAAAATAAAAATACATATTTGATAAGAGAACCCGATTGTTCTAAGTTTAAAAAATAGATTACATTCTATTCTTTTTGGGATTTTCTTATGTTTTAGTGCTATTCTTTATCATAATTTGCTCATAATACCGTACTTACACACTTGTTTATAAGGCATGTTGTCTACTTTATCGCTGTGAGTTATATCTGAGCGTACTTCGTAACAAGCTTCTGTAGTGGTCCATAAAACGTGTGTGAAACTGTAGACAACATCAGACGTCCTTCAATCCACAGACAATACGAAGTTATCGTATTACAATTATTGACCCTGTGTAACTTCGTATTGTTTTCCAATCTCTATCCTGTTAAAAAGTGATAAAAAGCCCTAAATGATGGCATACGTAATTTTTATTCAATGTTGACTTCAACATTTATAATTATATAAAGTATATAAAAATCATTTAATTAACTGGTTCAAATAGAATTTTCAATTAAAAAGATATTTCTAAAAGTCTGATTGACTTTACTCAAAACGGATAGTTATCTATGCCAAATATGGTACTAATTAAAAGAGAGATCATTATAAAGAATCTATAGTAACAGATCACTAGTTTGAAGAAAGCGACGCCCTTCTGAAGGTGCATCAAAGGCATTGATTAATGGCGGTTGCCCTTACGACAGCAATCATCTGAATGGAAACCAACGTATTAGTGCGTGCGGTAGAAAACGGTACTATTATAGCGACCAAGCGAAAGAATTGAGGGAAACACGACAGTCGACCTTATGTCTAAGACTGATGCGACAGTGGCGCCCTCCTTGAAATGAAAGTGATCTTGGTCGCCTTGTACGGAAATCGCCGGGGTGGCGAGAGGCCGCGCCACTGGTCTTTAAAATAAATTGCTCTTGCGCATCGCGATATTGAATGCACTCTATTTAGCTTGACAGACTATTTTAGGCTGTCAGATCCTAAGCTACTTATAAGCAAGTCTATTGTTATCACAATTAAGTTAATATTTGTTTTCAATTAGGTACGTTAACAATTATTTAAAAAAATTAGGATGCGTAAAATTCGATTGTTTTAAAATAGTATTAACTTTGTCTTGGATAATTTTCAAGCAAAAGGGTAATAGTGTAAATTTCAAAGGTTAGTTTGTTTTAACATTAAACATAGTTTTAGAATTGCTTCTGGCTCAAAGCAGGTGATTAATGCCAGTGCAGTATATTTTGAAAAGCCTAACCCAGATCCCTAAAGCAATATATTTATCCACCGACATTTTATCGTCGCAAATTCATACAAAATGGCGGCAGCCGTAACATTTCGTTCCACCTTCTCAATTTCACAGCATCAATAACAACCGTTCGTCTAGATTTGTCATTCTGATATTCAAAGTAAATAAAGTTTACGTAATAAGTTACATTACGACACAATAAAAATTAAAAGAGTCATTCATTTACTTCAGGTGTAGGTAATTTCTTTATAATTGGCGATTTGACGATGGTTTTTATTATATAAATGTAATATGAATGAATAACTCAAGTTGTTGCTCTGTAAAGAGAAATTTATTTTTCATAAATCATCACAATAACTTATGTTTGCAAACACAAATCAATTCTACACTTTTATACTGATATTATTAATTACTAACCTGTAAGGAGAAACAACATTAAAAGCTATTGCTTCAAATATTATTTACTATATATTTTTTTTTTAATCACGTTTATGAATTGTGTTTTTCTAAAATGGCTATAGTGTAAGTGCTGCTGACATAGATAATATTTAACGTAAAACGTCTAGGGTAAAAGCGCGGACAATATAAATTAAATGAAATGTAATAGAGCTCCGTTTATATAAAAATAAAACTTTCAAAAAATTTAATGAAACAAAATTCATCGGAATTGGTCAGCTATTGACGAGGATATATCATATACACAAAAAATACATTCAATATAAATCCTCCTATTTTAAATCGGTTAAAAATAAAGCCTGGTAATGTATTATGTAACTAAACGTCTTATTACAAAACGACGACTTGGTTCTTATTTTAAACTATAGCTGCCGCAAAAAAAAAATGTCAGTGACAGAAGAGAAAACGTCAAGTTGAGACACGTTGTCTTATTTTGGTCGGATTATTGCTAAGCCCGGTACTAAAGTACTCGGTTTTATAATAAGACAGTTATATTTTTATAAATAATGGTTTCATCCAATTTATGCGCCTGTTTCTGCTCCCTTTATATGGTGCAATTATATTCTGTTATTATTTTAATTTCGTCTGATGACCTTTTATGACACTACCTTTCTCGCAGTCAATTGGCAAGTGGTAAAATTTATTAGTACTCAATAGTAGTTTACGATACAAGTCTTGAATAATAAAACTGCATTCAATATTTTATTAGTCGTTGTATTAAGTTGCGTAAGTTATAGACGGTCGAGGGAGGTTTAACAATCGAACATAATAAGAAGAAAACAAAAATTTCGATCAGTATATCTATTTGCCCAAGTTCCCCACTGACTTCTTAACTGCTGATTATAATTTGACTAAAGGTTCTATAGCAGCATCTTGATCGTAAGCTATAATTTCATAATGATGAACAAAGAGGTCATAAAGTCACAAACAAAAAAAAAACGTGTTTAAACAACAAATAATGATGTTAAATTCGTGGTCAATAAATTTACATACCTATTCTATACTTTATCACGAAATCACAACTTCAAAGTTATTAAAAATGTGAGTTTGAATATTAGAACCCTACTAATTCTGATAACGAAATAGGATAATATTCTCAGCAGAAATGGAGAAGATACCGGAGGTATTTCACTTCTTCACATTGCTTTTAGCAACTGAAATATCTATAAGCGCTTTTCACATTTGCTTTATGAATTTCATTCTTATTGTAAATTATTTAAATTGAATTGCTATTTCGATATTATAGTTTCCTCATATTTCTTCTAGGTGTAAGGTTATAAAGTTATAAATAGCGCTATAGGGCTAGTTTAATAAAAAGCTAGATGACTGTAATTGAGCCTTAGTTTACTTATTAACGTTCTTAACGTCTCTGTTTATAATTCTGGTTTCTATCGTGAACGTCATGTTTTAATAAACAAAATTTATCTCGCTGATAATGTACCAACGAATGATAAAGCACAAGGGTGGCCAAAAATGTATACTTTAAAATTTAACTTTCGCAAGGGTCGATCACGAGATGGGTGACCAAAAAACTATTATCTCGAGCAACTTCGTGCTTCGGAAGGCACGTTAAACCGTTGGTCCCGGCTGCATTTGCAGTTGTTTATACCCTCCAATCCGCATTGGGCCAGCGCGGAGGGTCATGGCCCATCCTCCTTAACCATCCTTTAGGAAAGTCTGAGCCCCTGCAGTGGGGACTTAAAAGAGCTGATGCCATATTATTAAAGACCTGCAAATCATGTTTGTTTATCAGATAACGTAGGCGCACGCGCATCGTGCGCGCAACGATCGGCGTTCGATCAGCTATCAGTTGCATTTGCCAATTAAAAGGTTGTAATGTCAACAACATTAGAAGTAGCACTCGCGTGTAATTGACTTCCATTTTCGTTTGCACTTAATTCAAAGCCTAATTAGGTTCTTACGCATTTAGGGCATTAGATTATATCAATTTAGTCTGCGTTCAATACATTTAGCGATTCGTTTTTATTTATTCTTGTTTCTTGTTAAAAGTTAGAATTATTATTTTAAAAATGTGCTACAGTAGAAACTTGTGCGTTCGTCGAAAAGAAAAATCCCGAAACACGTAAAATTCCGTCGTCGTCGCAAACATACCTGCTAAAATGTACTAATAAGTGATATTAAAAACTTTTAAACGTGCACCGTTGATTTTCGTAAATTTAAGGGAATTGCAGATAATAAACCTTCTTGGTAATTACGTTCAATGTTTGCGGAGTCATATCCAGTTTTCTCGGAAGGCATTTATATATTGCAATATTGGGCGAGGAAGTTAATTTTATTACATATGAATATCTGTAATTTTTTTACCTATACAATGGTATTGTATTATTTTATGTTTTTTCGTTGCCTGGAATAGATTGATATCTTAGCAATAACTGCATTTTGTCTGTGTTATAACTTGTGTATTCATTCATTTAAAAAATGATGTAATAAAGTTTCACCTCAAGTTTCAAAGTACTGGTAATGTTTCTAACATTATACAATAAAGGTTCAGCAACTTTCATAGGGGCCGCTTATGGAATGGGTGACCAAACATTTATTAAATAAAACTATATTTTCAACATAGTTTTATTTGATCTCAATTTAGACGCTTCGGTTCCTTACAGTCATCTAAATCCGAAACATCTAAAATAAAATCATATAAAACCGTCCCGGTTTCATCTGTAATTGTTGAAACCCACCAATCCACACTGGGTCCACATGGTCAGTGCTCTCTATACGTTCATAGAGAAAGCATACTTTTATTAACTGCTTGCGGCTATAAATTCTATTTTCTTCCCCAGACCCCTGGTATGCCAGAATGGTGCTACCTGCACCAACTCCGTCGGTGGTTTCTCATGCATATGCGTGAACGGCTGGACTGGACCAGAATGTTCTGTCAACATCGACGACTGCGCCGGCGCAGCTTGCTTCAATGGCGCGACCTGCATAGACAGGGTCGGCTCTTTCTACTGCAAGTGTACTCCTGGGAAAACGGGTGAGTTTGAAACAGTTATTGATATTTTTGTCTAGTGTAGACTGAAATATATTCTTTTAAATAAGTTTAATTAATTTATTATAGAAAAATATATAATAAATTTGGCAAACTATATCTTCGAATGCAAGTTCAAGTAGCAAAATCTACTTAACTTAAGTTAAGTTTGAATACTCTAACTATGAATTTTAACTTGGGGATCGCTGAACCTCGAATATAATATTTTGGACTTATTGGGTGGAACCACAAGGAAACCGAATATTGTTACCATTTTTAATGCAAACGATTAAATTTTACACTGATTTCATGACCGTTTGCTCGTAAATGCAGCGGCTAGATAAAGTTTAAAGAAAAATGAATAATGTTCCTTTAAAAATGACCACGCAAAGAGTTCAATTGATTAATAATGATCTAGCAGTAAATACGATAAATAATATATAATTTATCAATTTTGCTTAGTGTAAAAACAATGGAATATTTTAAAATATGTATTATTCCGCAGGCCTCCTCTGTCATTTGGATGACGCGTGCACCTCCAATCCCTGTCACGCTGACGCCATCTGCGATACCAGCCCAATTAATGGTTCCTATACTTGCTCCTGCGCATCTGGTTACAAAGGCCTCGACTGTTCTGAAGACATTAACGAATGCGAGCAAGGTAAGCCGTCAAGCAAACAAGGTAGAAGGAATAAAAGCAAAGGTTTTATGTATAATTATATTTTAGCTTGTCAATGAAAACAAATCATTCGTCTTTATATTAGTTAAGTAAAGCGGCATAATATTTTCCGATATCTTTCACAGTTATCCTTATATAAATCGTAATGAATTATACACTGAAACTTCGTCATGAATTGATTAATTGTTTCGTTGTGAACGAAATAATTCGTGTCGATGAATTATTTCGTTCATTAATAAAGACTATGTGAAAGTCTGTTTCGTTTTTTTTTGAGTTTATTAAGTACAGAGACGCCATATGCTAGTGATTTTTAGATACAAAAAATAAGGATATCAGAAAGTCTAAACAGACATAACCAAAAGTACATTAAAACCTTAAAAGATGCGTAAATAACGACAAAATATTTGAAAATCTACTATACTTGGATTATATCGGAAAATCTCAGGTACATTACAGCTTATCTTTTCTGTAGTTCAGCAATAAAATCTTTTAAATAGCATTCAAAGTATACCTCTATTAAAGTATTTATCGCCGCATATCGTAAATCGTCTTCGAATGAGTAGATTTAACCAAACACAAGATAAAACTATAAGCTCGTAAACTTATAACTATTACGGCTTTAGTGCGACAAATGTTTTCAATCGAATGTTACGTTCGGATACGTTAAGGATATAATACATTGGAAAACATAAAACTTGAGAAATAAACTCTTTGTTTATTTCGAGGATAGTTATTTTGAAACTATTAAGTTAAACTAATTTCTCTTTCGTTCCCGCCACGCATTCTTCGGGTCTTGTGAACATGCGTACATTCATAGTACTATAAATAAGTCGCTTTCCGCTGTCTGTACAGTGAGATCTAACGGACTTTAATGCGGTTTTCACCAATATACAGGGTTATTCATGACGTAGGTTACATATATGATGCAGGACCGAGCAGGCAGAAAGTTAGTAAATAATTTAAAGCTACTTTTAATAAAACTAAATATATTTATAATACTCATGCCATGAATTCCCCTTGAACGCTTGATACTATTAAAAAGTTTTTTTTTTACCATCAACTTTCATTGAAACCTTGACAATAGGGATGATGACTCATTTTTGTTTGTTTGTCCGTCAGGTAGAGTGTTAAAAAATATTAAACACGTATTTTTTTATTTGTTTCGTAATCATAAAATTATGGCGTTACATTGAGTTGAAATTTCGCATGACGTCACGTTAGAGTACGTTTTCTACTCAACTGTGACGAAGCGAGCCCCCACTCCTCAACTTTAATGCCTGTTATCTATACTATTTCTTGTTAATTGGAAGTAAAAAAAAATACGTATCTAATATTTTTCTATTATCTGACTGACGGACTAAATAGAATTGCATTTTTTTTACCCAGTCATCATCCCTATTATTGTTTATAAATTTTTTGTAAGAAACAACTCCTTGTCACAGGTTCCCCGTGTGAACATGATGGTATCTGTGTGAACACGCCTGGATCCTTCGCCTGCAATTGCTCCGTCGGCTTCACTGGACCCCGCTGTGAAACAAACGTCAACGAATGTGAGAGCCATCCTTGCAGGAACTATGGCTCTTGTTTGGACGATCCTGGCACCTTTCGATGTGTCTGCATGCCTGGTAAGTTGGATAATAGTTTTAGCACAAAACTCACAGAGTAGGGGCCTAATTGTCTAATTTTAAAATCGATCGCAACCCCTATTAGACATCTGATAGCGATTGCACTCGCGACGATTCGTTGAAAGAAATTGAATGAACGATATCGTTTATTAGAATTGTATAAGCAAAACAGTAAATGCTTGAAAACTATTGAGAAATTTCAAACGAAAGAGTTGATTATTAAGATTCTAGATCGGTCCAAAAGCGATTGCAAATTTAAAAGTCACATAATATCAAAATTTTAAAAATAGATTGCGATAGAATTTAAATTTACAGAATTAGCCCAATGAATTGCAGGACCATCATTAGTTCTGTTTTGTTAATTTAATTTATTTTATTTTATTTTTCATGGTAGATCAACGGTTGCATACTTGCAACTTACAATATCAATACATAAATCAGATAACCAATTATAGATCCACACAGTTAGCCTTAAAATTAGGTAACAATTTTGAGTTCACTCGGTAGTTGTGAGGTATGACAGACACATATTACACAAAGGACACACGCAAATAACACATTTCTTCTTTTTCCCTTATTTCTCGGATAGTTAAGAAAAGAAAAGGAGTTATAGTTGGCTGGGTAGTTTTGGATTTGTATTTTAAGATAACACTTAAGCTAAAGAAGTCAGGCGAGTGATTTATTTTATTTGAAAACAAGAAAATGAAAAAAAAAGAACATCTAACTTAAGTTATTTCTTATAGAACTTACTTATATTACTTATTATATAATAAATTATTCAGCAGCGATAAGCACAAAGCTTCTATCGTATAACCATTTCTATACGTCACTGGAACTAGCAGTCTTTTTCAATGCAGGTTGCAATTTGCTGATTCCCTGACACAGCTTAACGATTATCATTAGAGAAATACAGTTGGTGTGCGAATAGTGCGGAGATACTATGCTAGGGCTGTCGAGTGTTCCTTTTTCTAAATTCATTGTATTTCGTTGTCAAGTATTAATAAAAAATATGAATAAGTCTTGGTTATTATGATAATGGAGTATAATATATGTACTTCTATTGAATTTAAAGTTACATAATTCGCAATTCCACTTTATGATATTAGTACGAAGTATGTGTGTTTAATTAAAGAAATACAATTGAATAATTTTTTTGTCTAAATTTCCATAAATATCGTAATGCAGCTTTTCAACATACAGGTATTTTGAGACTGTGATGATAAATAGCTTACATTATACAGCTTTATATATATATATATATATATATATATATATATATATATATAGGGAACCGATGTTAAAAATTATTTTGTTTGTATTTTGTATGTTCCAATAATTTAAAATTACGAAAAAAGGAATAATCAATATGACATTAAAGAGCAGAGACAAAAAAAAAATACATGTATAGGAACTAGGAGAAAGATGAACGGTGTCGATGGTACGACACACTGTCACAACACTACTCACGTAAGCCCTATGCTAGTTTTTTTTTCTGCCAGCTCTAATTCCCATGGAGCTAGCGTGCATCGTCTCTTGCACATCGAAGGTATTATCACGGAAGCGGAACCTTTACCGCCTACTGCCACTGTCGTCGGACCGGCGCCGGCGCATATGAAACAGCAGACTAACTTTTTAATTGTTATATTATTATCGTACTGGGTTGAATATTACGAGTATAACGGTTAGTTGTACAAATGTCTATTATAGTTCAACGACAACTTAAAGCTCTAATGAATGTTCTAAATTTGAAAATATGTATCGGTAATGTCGCTTTCAACTAATGTCTATTTTGATGGACGCCGGCGGCGGCGCATATGAAACAGCAGACTAACTTTTTAATTGTTATATTATTATCGTACTGGGTTGAAAATTACGAGTATAACGGTTAGTTGCACAAATGTCTTTTATTTAACGACAACTTTAAGGTCTAATAAATGTTCTAAATTTGAGAATATGTATCGGTAATGTCGCTTTCAACTAATGTCTATTTTGATGGACATTTGTGCAACTGAATGCACTCGTGTATAAATGAAACTAGTATTTTTCCGGCGGTATTTTAGCCCATGTCACTTAGCTTCCAGTAGGTAAAAGAATTTTTTAAATCGCTCTAGTAGTATCGAAGCCTATTCGTTGCAAACAAACAAACAATCAAATCTTTCCTCTTTTTAATATTAGTATGGATATAAATAGGGTGCAAGATTTTTTTATCGTGTTAATATTACTTTAAAATAAATAAATTTTATCGATTTCAATTAATAAAATAAAATAACATATTCTGACTAAATTGGATCTGAAACAACGAGGGCTAGGTAGGAAAATTCATTTTGTATATTGACCCGACTGGAAATTGAACCTTAGAGATAGTAAAATCTCCAAACCAGCAGTTATATTTATATAGATTTGAACGTTTTTAATTCTAAAGACAAGAATAAAAATATACTATAGGGATTTGTTACGTCAAATCTTATAAATTCCGCATGAAAACGATAACGACTAAAAGTAGCCTAAACCCTTCTCCAACATAATTATAATTGATAATGTTTTCTTTTGCCATCAAAATCTTAACACAACAACAGTCTTCCATATGACAAATACGTGTAGATTTCTAGAAGCATCTAAGAGAAAAACAAACTCGTCCTTCCAACGGGAAAAAATCAACAATATCGAGTGCACTAAAGACGTCAACCAATGTGCAATGGTGCGGACGAGTCCACTCATCGGAACACTCCTTGTTCAAACACAACGCAACTTGACCGAATAGCAAACGCCATCAGCTCATATAAAGGAACATAATCGAGGGACTTTTTAATTCAACCGCGTTATTTCCAATATGACGTATCTTATGAACTGGAATCTTTAAGTACGTCGTAGTTTTGTATGTAACGCGATGCTTTTTGCGGTCATTCGTTTTTGGTTGGATAATATTTTACGCTTGAGAGCCTGCAATACCTGTCTGGTGGGTACGGTGGGTAGATGAATAAGGGAATGCGCAGGGCATTGAGCATGACGCCATTTACTTTTTTAAAGGGTTTTTATGTGTCCCTTAGGACTTTGCACTCGAATTTTACGAATAACGGCGATTGTAGACTGGCCGTAGTGTTACTGCACTTAGATAAATGGTTATTACATGCAACAAAACAGGTACTTAATAATATTTATATGCAGGTGAAACCATAAATAAATAATGACAGCCCCACCATTATAATCTAAAGTAGCCGAGTTATGAAAATGGTAATTAAAGGAGGTAACATATACCTGGGAACTGTTTAAATAATTTTACTATCTATGGGTCAGAACTACCTTAGAGGTTGCGACATTAGAAAACTAATTAGTTCATAAAAGTCCTGTTAAATAAAAATAATTATATAGGTACTTTTTTATTTGCACAAAAATATTCTTTGTTTATCAATAACTATGCCAAGTACTTTAATAGAATTCTGTTTCATTGGAAGTTGGCGAAAGTATTAATAAAACTAATAATATTAGATGTGTTAGATTTTTTTACGTGGTCTTGATAATTTAGTCTTTTGCCTAGTGGCTACTCCATAATAAATTTACATTACAAGAATGAGGCAACTTATACAAAGGGTTTATAAAAACCCTTTGCATGTCACATGGACGCGTGCAAAGTTGCCGGATCCACTTTTGGTCTTGATCCTGGCTCCTTACGGCAAAGCATGTATTTAATGGTAAAGCTGCAACAATTCAGACTGATCGATACCTGAAGTTCCTTTAATTCTTTAGCGACTTATTCTTTCCACCAATTTCTTTGGTCAGCTTTATTTTCTCCCATTCTTTCCACATGTCCTAATCAATGACGACGAGCAGATTCTATGTCCCATTTACGGTAGGGTCAAGCAGTAGTTCTTATATTGCCATGTTGAATCAAGCCCGTCATTTCCTATTATTGGTAGCTCCATGAATCTTACGAAATATTTACTACTACTGCTACTAAGGCGTCAAACAGCTGGTTATATTGTTATTGGGCATCTAAATTAGCATTGAAAGATTTGTGTCTCGATAGATATCCTGCCTTTCTTTATCATGATTGTATAATCTGAGGCATTTTGGGGGCAGCTGTTTATGTACCCAAATGTATCCGAAACGTGCATTAAACATTAAAATATGCGCATAAAGCCGCCATTAGCATGCGCCGGACATTCCTATTGTGGCTTGTGATCCGAAATCGTGACGAGTGACCCACCGTTAAAGTCATAGGCGGTAGCGATTTTGTTAGCTATTGGTATGTTATTCGTACGTACTGAGTTATAAATAATAAACTAGTGTTACTCGTATTTAAACTTACAGAAAAAAAGAAAAAGGAAGTTTTTGATAGACTTCGTGACTGTTGTTTCAGTATGCAAATATAAATTATAATTACTGTCATATGTTTCTCTAGCCATTTTAGGGTATTGCATTAAGATCAGACTATGTTTTATGCTATTAAGACTGAAAGATGTCTATAATTAAAGTTAAACTTTTTTATTATTGTTGGACATATCTCCAAAAGTAATCTATATTTTAAATTCGCTCTCAGTTTACTTCTTTAAACTCAAAAGCGACTGCGACAGGGCATGCGCTCGCGCACGAGGGCGGGGCCATCCCCCCTACAACCATTTCGGTGCGATATAACCGTTCAATAGGCCACGCCGGTTATAGAAATAATGTTACATAATAATGCTTAACCCTTAAGAACATTTCCTGGTACAGAGGAACCTTAGCTGGAAGTGATGGGATCGTGATAGTTGTACTATTAGAGATCCTTATAATGTCCAATTGGCGATGTAGTAATCGAAGCTTTTTTGCATGCACACTATAGGAATTAGGAAAAAATTCGGTGTAACATTTATATTACTTTTAATGTCAATTATATTTGATTCATATTAAATTTTATAAGAGAATATTAGGATTGACACAATGGATGAATGGATTGACAAGATCTAGGGAATATTATTTCAAGATTTTTATTATTTTATTAGCTACTGGCCATGTTCAATTCTCCGGTCGAGCTCGTCTTCCTGTACCCTCCTATACCACCTCTTGTTTGTTTCCTCGCGATGCAGGAAAAATGTCAGCTGTCGTTCCACCACATATATATAATAAGAAACTGTCAAGCATTGATTTCTTTAACACATATCTAAAGAATATTAAAAAGATCTTAAAATAAAATTAAAGTAAAACATAATTGTTTACAATAAATAGATTTATTTTATTATTTTGTTTTGTTACATTGTAGTTGATCTTCTCGGATTTGATCACTAATATTTTTTTAAATTCATGAATATCTGTCTGATGACAGGTTGAAGCATGAAAGACTTTTAGTTTGTACTAAACTTGAGCACTGTAGGTATTTTTAATTACGTTACTGTCTGTCGACTGTTTGATGCCAAAACAAAATAATAAAAAAAAAACTTTAATGGCCTGTGTCCTATAAGTGAAAATATCATCATCATCATCATATCAGCCGAGAGACGCCCACTGCTGGGCATAGGCCTCCCCCAAAGATCTCCAACGTGATCGGTCCTGCGCCTCCCGCATCCAGTGAAAATTATAGGTTTTTGTTTTATCTCCGGAAAATATGAACCATTTTGACTTATAAATATTCAACAAAACAAATTTTAAGTCGTTAATTTGGAAAATATTACGCTTTGAATCCTTGAAAAAAGTATGGAAAATATACTACAAAAATTTACTTAAATACATAAGGTATTCAATTAGATATATAAAATGTTACAACTTAAATTATAACGCAACTTACATTATAACATAAACACACAAATAACAAAAATTGCCCAGACACCCATACGTTTTTCGCTACTGTAGGACTGTCTGAAGTCACTTAATGCCTTGAATTTGTAGGGAGCGTTTTAGGCCGACTAGCAGCAGTTCTATAAGAAGAGCATCATATCTTCGAAACTATTAATTGTAGACATGCTCTTACTTCTACGTTATCAATCTCAGACATTAATGGAGTATTTATATATAAAATAAAAAAAGTTGTCAACTAGCCTAATAATGTTGTACAAAATTTTAATGGGATCATGAATTATTTACGTTATATCTTATTCTAGTTTGATATTAGGATATTGAGTAATTTCGTTTGTAATGGAAAATATTTAATTTTGTTAACAATGAATATCGACGAGTTTCGGAGTCGATTGGTTCGCACACCGGTTTGTAGGTGGCACCTCTGAGGTCTTGGGTTTGATTCCCGGTCGTGTCAATGTAGAAAATGGACTTTTATCAGAGTTCGCTGATATATATCAACGGATATATACATACATATATAAATATTAAATAACTCAAACTCAATTTTTATTTTTTATTTTGTTTTAGAAGATCGCGGCTTTTCATATGCATGTGTCAAATATCGGATTTTTGGGAACCCTGATAATAGTAGATAGGTAGATAATTATTATATACTGCCCCCGTAAAAGAAATTGTTATGTCCCTACTTTAAATAATAATTCTTCTCAATAGATCCTTCAGGTTTATAAATTATATTCTTCAGTCAACACATCTTCGGTACAAATTAAATTATCATAAGTCAATTTCAACTCTGTACCTATATAAATACGCGACTCATCAACTGCAATATTTATGTTTTACTTCAAGACTACATTCCCCATTTGGCGGGATAGTGATTTCTCGAAACATAATTTACTTAAGTAAATTTTCACGCGAAAATAGACTCTATTCAAAACAAATAAAGCCCATATCTAGTGTAGGATTTAACTCGGCAATTTTATAAGGGCACCGTCGGACACTGGTCGCGGCTAGAATGTCCTGCCTCGGGCGTTTCAATCAATTCCAACTTGTAACCCATTTGATTTATGGTTTAGTCTTATTTGTAAGTAAGTGGAATGGAGATTCAAACCAAATATGTCTGCACATAGAATTACGCTATTTATAATCATATTGACTGTGTGTTAAAGTATAATTTTGCATGGGTTTTTGGACGTCTGGAATAGTGGGTACCAATTAGAATTCTTGCGATATCCCGTTTTTTGATGTGCGCGGGCATAAGCTCAGTATATTATGTTGATCTATTTGTCAATAACTGACAACTGGTTACAGTTGATGAAAGTATACTGTACTGTGAAATAGATAAGAAAGACTTGTCATCAAAACCTAAATAATAAAATTTATTAGAATGCATTTAATAGTACAATTCCAATCACAAGGGGTCAATTTGCAGTTCTATGCAGCTTTTTGTGTATTTCCAGTACAGAAACAATATAAACGTACAAACATTAGGATTGAATTACAATCAAAACATTAACGTTGTTTCAAAATTTATCATGACCTCAAACAATCTAAATCAGCAAGATTTTGTGTAATTTTTTTCGTAATGTTAGTGCAGGCAATGCTAGATGGCACAGTGGCTGGAGTGCTCGTTCTGCCATACGGTTTTTAAGCAACTTTCACAATACCCGGTCATAGGATGGGTGGGTGACCAAAAATTTGTTTTCTCGAACTCCCCCGTGCTTCGGAAGGCACGTTTAGCCATTTGTTTCGGCTGCATCTGCAGTCGTCAATACCCGACAAATCGTAATGGGTCCGCGTGGTGGGTCAAGCTGGTGATGATGATTTCTATAGATGAAATCGAATAAGGAGAATGGACCATGACCACACGTGCCATGTGCTATCAACGACTGCTAATCCAGCTGAGCCTGAGCAATGCCTTATGAAACACGAAGTAGCTGTAGTTAATAAACTTTTTGGTCACCCATCCCATGAACGGCCTTGCAAATGTTGCAGTCCGTTTTTGAGTTTTTATGTAACAAATAATGAAATATTTCTTATTTGCTTATAATATTAGTAATAGGTATTATATGTATTATGTAACATATACATATTTTCTTTGATGTAGTATACATCGACATAGTAATGTTTCTCTACAATATTTTACTGCGACTGCGCTTACTAAGTAGAGGACATTACTTTAGCGATTTTACGAGACACAAATTCCACATGTACAGGTAAGTTGGTCGTAAATGCACTTTAGTTATGACTTTGTTGCTTGTATTCGAGTCGTCGGAAATTTTAAATGTGTACCTATTTAAATAATACAATATGGCTTAATTATTTTGTATTATTTATATAATTATCTATAAAGTTTCATAAACATACATAATTTCCAGTATTGGTTTAGGCCCCTTATTGTGGACTCCGCGAGAGGGTGCAACTGAGGATTTTGACGGGTATTCTAACTGCCTAAGCTGCCTTCGCTTAAAAATCTTCTACGGGTAATATATACTTTTCAGTTGGGCGAAGTCGCGGTCAGGCCAAGGTCCAGTTTCGCTTATTAGATGTCCACAAACAATAAAATCTTTTCACTTTATAATATTTGTATAATATAATGTCATGGGGGTAATCTATATGTCGTGGGGCAATCGTTGGATTGGGCCAATAGAAATCTGCCCGGTAATATCACTATATGCCGCTATTTCTTGATTTGGTCTTCTATTATCCGCCATATCGTCCAATGCTTAACGTTTTACGATTTGTCCGACTACACTTAGGTCAATTAAAACACGTAATACACTTAAGTACGCGTTGATGTCTTTTCTTCATAAAAATTATATCGTTAGATGTAATCTTGTTGTCTATCGATTTTTTCAACACGTGAACAAAAATAATGGTTTCATATTTATTTATCTGCTTTTAATTTATAAATGAACAACTTTTAAACGGTTTCATCGCGTTCGTACTTAGTTTTATTGACGTTTCGGACCCTTTACAAGTTCCGTGTTCACATAAGATTAAGGTGTAAGACTAAGATTGTTAAAAAGTTGTTTCATTTATGGATAGTGCGTGTGAAAATGTAAGAAACCAATATGTTTCTTATTTATTATAAAAAAAATATTGTTGTTTTATTCTGAACTTTCTTGACATACAAGTTTTGGGTTTTATAAAGTTGTGGTTTTTTGTTTATTTTTATAAAATGAATTTAGTCAGAAGCGGTACAATTGGTGGATTTATAGTAAAAAGCAATCTCTACCAGGCGATGAGAATGGGATATTAAATAAAATAATAGATTAAGTAATTTTATGATAAAGGGGAGCATGTAATGTAAATAACTTTATTGTTTCAGGTTTTACGGGAACCCAATGCGAAGTGGAGATAGACGAGTGCGCCAACGACCCGTGTCTAAACGGAGGCGTATGTCACGATATGATAAATGAGTTTCGATGCACTTGTGTCAATGGGTAAGTGCAATCGTATTTATATACCTACTTTAATAAGCACAATTCGACTTTTTTTTTTGACAACCCCCGTAGCCGAATATTTCGCACGCCGGTTTTTAAAGTCATCTCCGAAGTCCTGGGTACGACCGATCGAGTCAATGTATATAACGTACTTTTCTATATTTTCTCGGGCCTGGGTGTTGTGCAGACTAAATTGTTATCTTTAAACCACCCTTTTTCATGTGCAGAGTAGTTTCTAAGGCAATAAACACTTTGTATATGGAATTTCTAAAGTGTCTATCTTTATTTTTCTAGAATAATCATTTTCCAATGACAATATTTGTCAAAGCAGTCATAAAGGTCAGAAGACTAGAAAAAGAGTGTCTATTTTATAGTAATTTACTATTATTTTTGTTGCTATCCAAAATATAACATTACATTAGAATTTAGGCAAATTAATATGTTATGTTAAATTTAAATTATCAATTAGGTCTATGTTAGACAGTTTTATATTCGTGTGTTATACAATATATGAGACGAAGCATGTGTGTATGGACGGTACTTTGGAGTTTTGTCCTCTCTATGATGATATAGATAGATAGATATAATTTCATATTTTTGTTGTCATTTAGCTTTACTGGTGCTCGCTGTCAAGTGAATATAGATGATTGCGCGTCCAGTCCGTGCCGGAATGGAGGCACCTGTCACGACTCCATCGCTGGTTATACGTGTGAATGTCCCCCGGGATACACGGGTGAGTTGTGTTATTGTTTTATCATATGCTTATTACAATCGTTACAGATTACACTTTTCGCATAGTTAAAATAATACAGGTAATTGATATTGCAAGTTTTTGAACCATCTATCCGCTCAGTCTTTGTAAAATTTGCCAACTCACAACTGTATTCGAATGACCTAGCCATTACACTTCCGAAATTTTGTGTTGATACTTTTATTATGCATTATATTTAATGAAGTAAAGATTAGCCTACATGTTAATCCAGGATAAGATTATTCGTATAGCAAATTCCATCAAAATCCAATTAGTAGTTTGTGCTCAAAAGTGTAAACATCTTCGTATCGCAAACTTTTGCATTTATGATATTAGAAGAATTGGTTCTTTGCGATGATGCCTGTAAAAAAGCGCGTGGTTCCAACTATTATATGTATTTAGCTTATACGACGTGTCCCAAAATTCAACGATAAGCGGGCGCCAAGAGGTAGACCTGCTCATGTGTACTTATGGAAAAATAAGAAAAAAACTATATCTTATTAATCTTTTTTATTATAAAATAAAATTCGAAAATTTTCGAAAGAGTTGTAGCGAATAGTAGTGCTACTTAGGTATCCGATACCAAAAAAAGATTGAACATAATTGAGAAGTTGTGGTCGTGGTAGTTGAAAATATCATAAAAGGTGTAAATTTTCGAAGATTATCGAATTTAATTTTATAATAAAAAAGATAAGATGTATTTTTTTTCTTATTTTTCCATAAGTACACATGAGCAAGGGTACCTCTTGGCGCCCGCTTATCGTTGAATTTTGGGACACGTTGTATGTATTAACTTTAATCGGGGAGGTAGGCCGTTCTTTTACTTGCTTCAGCTACTTGAATCATGTACAGTCAACGGTTATACAAAACTGTTAAATTGTCCCCTTCATTTTAATTTGATATATTGCGGTAGCCTGACTTGCAGCTGTGTGTACAAGTTATTCAAGTTCATCCGTGTATAAATCCACACAGCTTTAAGCTCCTTCCAGTGTAGCGTATAGTGTTTGTCCTATCTTCTATCTAGATTCTGATGAACAGTTACCTATTTCAGACTCTTTACTCATGTCACCACAGCAATTTACAGTTGGCCTTTGATTATCCAACTTTAATACTACTTAATTATTCTACCTGTGAATATTCGTGACCTATTTAATTTTTTAGGAATGTCTTGCGAGACAAATATCAACGATTGCTTATCAGCGCCTTGCCACAGAGGTGAATGTATCGACGGCGACAATAGCTTCACCTGTAACTGCCACCCAGGGTATACAGGTCGGGTTTGCCAGACGCAGATCAACGAGTGTGAATCAAACCCCTGCCAGTTCGGAGGTGAGTAACGCGAAGTTCACTTTTTATATAACACAGATTGGTTTTATATAAATATGCATATAACTGAGCTATATGCTTAGGCTACATTAAGCACATTTACAGCAGCTGCTGTATGGATTCAACAATTTAATCAGCATCAGCCCTTTCATGTCCCCACTGCACGAGCCTAGGCCATCCTTAAGGATGGTTAAGAAGGATGGGCCATTACCTTCCACGCTGGCCCAATGCAGATTTTACGATATAAACGACTGCAAAAGCAGCTGGGACCAACGACTTAACGTGCTTTACAAAGAACGTAACAGCTCAAATTAACAATTTAAGGGTCACCCATCCTATGGCTGGCCAAAGCGAAAGTTACTTAACAATCGTATCGCAGATCGAGCGCACTAACACTGCGCCATAGACCTCAAAAAATATATTTACTCAACTGTATAATAACTGAGCTATAATTAAAAACTCTTTACCCAGGTCATTGCGAAGATCTAATTGACGGGTATCAATGCCGATGTAAACCTGGTACTTCTGGAAGAAACTGTGAGATCAACGTAAACGAATGCTACTCAAATCCGTGCAGGAATGGTGCTACATGCATAGACGGTATCAACAGGTTAGTTTCGATTGAATTTTTAAAACGAACACTTTGATTAAGGCTATAAGGTGTTAAGTTTACCGCTATTGGGATGAGCTTACAACGCTGTTATATTAAAGTTCATAATTTTGCACATAGTGAAAGACTCGTAGTAAAATTATCTGTGAGAATTATTAATAATTACCTGAATTAATACCCACAAAGGTAATTATAATTAAACGAGAAGGAAATATAGAATGGTGTCCGTATACACCAGCGAATGAACGTCATACTGCTAATGTGTACATACGTATATAGATTACATATTTGCAAAAAGAGATCTTTATCTTAAAATAGCATTTTCAATGCAAAGTCTATCAAATATAATATGTAATTTTTTTTTGCCTACGAGTCTTTGATTATGTCGTGTTTGTTAAAAAAAAATTTAAACACAATCCTAACACATTTTTTTTTTTTACACGCAGCAATAATTATTTCGAGTAAGTTTTTTCAAAATTGACTAGCATGTTCAAAGTTTGGCAATAAACGGCATGAAAAACAAGGGAATGATTATACTTGTAAAACTAAATTGTATTTAATTGTGGTGCTTTCCCAAAATTGCTGCTTTTATTAACCAACTTCATTATTTTATAAGCTCACAAAAAAAAAATCAAAGACAGACAAGTCAGACTATAGTCTGAGTAAAATGACAACAATGTCTCGTTTAAATGACATCAAATTAGCTCAAAGTAAGGTCTCGGAAATGCGAGTGCTTCAAAATGTGTTAGCTGGTCAGGAGTCTGAAAATATAAACTACAATATAATATGGAATATCATGGGCTTTCTTTAAATTCTAGACTCCTTCGTTATAAAAAAGTCTTCACCAAGTGCTAGGTTGAATTCCACAGATGAGTTGATGGGCCTATTTAAAACAGGTATACGTGTGAGTGCATCCCTGGATTCACTGGGCAACACTGCGAGACGAACATCAACGAATGTCTGCCCAACCCATGCGCTAACGGCGGCAAATGTATCGACCGCATCAACGGTTTTCGCTGCGAGTGCCCTAGAGGATACTACGATGCTAGGTAATTGTAAAACCTTCTCATGTAGCAGGTACTATGTAGTCTACTCCTGAATAGGTTGGTATTTTGATTTATTGGGCCCTATTCTGCAATCCACTAGGTATTTTCCTTCCGTCTTCTGTCTTAGGTCATTTATGGTAGCACTACGGATGTTTCTTTCGATTTTAGGATACTATGATTACGATTTGTTTTGGGATTTCTTTTTGTAGATTATTCCAATCCTTCCCATCGAATATGAGAATGTCTGATTTTTATCTGACACTTGTGTTAGTTTGGAGACTGCTTTCCGATATATTTCAGTCTTTGCGACATGCTTTAACTTCAATTGGCCAGACGCTTTGCATGGTAGAGGTAGATGTTTGATGAAATTTTAAATGACGTTCATTCGCAGGTGTCTATCCGACGTGAACGAATGTGCCTCAAATCCATGCACAAACGGCGGCAGCTGTGAAGATGGAGTCAACCAGTTTATTTGCCATTGCCTGCCAGGTTACGGAGGTAAATATTTATTGACTACAAATATCGCAATAGTTACTGAACATAAAATATTTTAACCGGCATGAATTCGACATATAATTGTTATTTTTCACCAGGCCAACGCTGTGAGAGAGATATTGACGAGTGCAGCTCAAATCCTTGCCAACACGGAGGAACTTGCCACGACAGGTTGAATGCGTATAAGTGCGACTGCGTCCTTGGTTTCACCGGTAAGTTTTTCTGAAAGCCCTCAATCACTAATTCTTCTTGACTTTCTTTCTTGATTATGTTTATTTTATCGTTGAAACAATGTTTTCTTATGTTATTGGGCTTTTGAACATAGTCATTTTGTTGGAATATGAAGTGCTTCTATGAATAATGGCGCTCGTACACATGGAATGGAATGATCATCTTCTTTTTGACACACTCAGTGGATTCCCACTAATAATACTGAGTTTGCCGTTGGTTGGTATTAGCACCCTTCCGGGAATCTGAACGCCAATTACTTCAATTACACGATTTAAAGTAACTAAATGTTGCAACAGGTGTGAATTGCGAGACGAACATAGATGACTGCGCGGGAAATCCGTGTTTGCATGGTGGATCATGCATCGACCTGGTAAATGGATACCGTTGTGTGTGCGCGCCACCACACTCCGGCAGGAACTGCGAGAACACGCTCGACCCGTGCTCACCCAACCAGTGAGTACACACGATATATCCTATCTCTTTCTGTCTTACCTTTCTCAAGATTAATTTGTTGTTCCAGACGAATTAGAATAGAAAAAATATACAAATGTGTATATGACTCATAAGAAATTACATTGCAGATGTCGACACGGTGGTCGTTGCATCGCTGAAGCTTCGTACGCGGAGTTTACGTGCCAATGTCCAGTAGGTTGGACAGGTGCTCTGTGCGAACGAGACGTCGATGAATGTGCGGTCACAGCGCCCTGTCATAACGAAGCCACATGTATCAACACCGAAGGGTCGTATACCTGCCTCTGTGCTATCGGTTACGAAGGGAAGGACTGTGCTATCAACACAGATGACTGTGCTTCGTGTAAGTATCTGTTTTTATTTAAGCCGAAATCATTAATTCATTCTAGGCAGTACCTTTTTAACAAAAAACACTTCAGAAGTTAAAAACTGAATCAGTTTGCTCTGGGAGACCTTTGAAATTCTGCAAGAGTTCTTTATCTTGTTTTATTTTGAAACCATATTGGATTTTTCAGTTCCCAAATCATATCATCGCTTTTAATCTTAACGTAGTGCGCCATCAAGTACTGTTTTAATAACGTATCCTCATTTTGGTATTTGTCGTATCAGGAATTTGATATAAGCGCAATAGTCTTTGTTCTTACTAATTATATTATTGCAGAGATTGGTGCCTTAGATGTATTTAGTAATAAATCATAATGTTTCATTCCAACAGTCCCTTGTCAAAATGGCGCTACCTGCTTGGACAGTATCGGTGATTACAACTGCGTGTGCGCAAGCGGTTTCGCTGGAAAACATTGCGAAGTTGATATTGACGAGTGCCAATCAAGACCTTGTATGAATGGCGCCACTTGCAATCAGGTGAGGATATCAAAGTGCTGATATACCAGACAATGTACTTCAAAGTCCCCTTTTTTGAACATAACTTTCAAAACAATAAAATCAATTGGAGATGTTATATTGTAGTACTTTTGAAAACCTCATTTGTAGTCAACTTTATGTTATTATAATAATGTTACAATATATCAATTGTAACATTATTATCTATGATTTTCTTCTTTCAGTACGTGGCCTCGTACACATGCACTTGTCCACTGGGTTTCTCTGGGATCAACTGTCAGACGAACGATCAAGATTGCACTGACTCCAGCTGTATGAACGGAGGCACCTGTATCGATGGCATTAACTCTTACAACTGCTCTTGTCCGCCTGGGTAAGTAAACCTTAGCCATACCATTGTAATAAAGAATTATTAATCAAAGATTAAAGCATCAGAAATAAAATTGAGAAAGAGTCTATATTACTCAGATACCAAGCCAAGTAACCAAAGCGCTCGTAAACAAACAGGAAGATATAGAACTTGGTACAAGCTCTTTAATAACGGGTGTAATAATGTTAATGTCTAGAACAAATTTTACAGCAGGTAGCTATATGTCAAAAATTTAAAAGTTATTTCTTTATTCAATCAGGTATACTGGTTCGAATTGCCAGTTCAGAATAAACATGTGCGATAGTTCGCCGTGCAGTAACGGCGCGACTTGCCACGATCACGTCACTCACTACACTTGTCATTGTCCATACGGCTACACAGGAAAACACTGCGAGGGATACGTCGATTGGTAAGACACAAGCATTTGCAATAGATTTTCTACCTTATGAAACAGAAGCGAGAGTTAGTTTAGAAGTGTCTTTTCTAAGACACTTCTAAGGTTTCTACCTTGGTGAATAATTGCACGAGACCAATGTGAATGTTATAATAATTTTAATTTGTTTGGTACAGGTGTGAAGGCAATCCATGTGAGAACGGCGCGACATGTTCCCAAAAGGGACCGCAGTATACTTGTACATGTGCACCAGGATGGTCTGGGAAACTGTGCGATGTAGAAATGGTATCTTGTAAAGACGCGGCTATCAGAAAAGGTATGTTTCTGTGAATGACGATGATAATGTTTTATTTATTTTCTTCAACCAACGAAACAGATGATAATAATTAATGTTATCTTTTCAGGAGTCAAGTTGAAACAACTTTGCAACAACGGCACATGTGACGACATAGGTAACTCGCATCGCTGTCGTTGCCTTGATGGGTATACTGGTTCATATTGCCAGAAAGAGATCAACGAATGTGACTCCGCTCCATGTCAACACGGCGCCATTTGCAAAGACCTAGTCGGTACTTACCAATGCCAATGTGCCAAAGGTTTCCAAGGCCAGAACTGTGAACTTAACGTAAACGACTGCTTGCCCAATCCGTGTCAAAACGGTGGTACGTGCCACGATCTCATCAACAACTTTTCCTGTTCTTGTCCCTTCGGTACTCTAGGCAAGATTTGCGAAATCAACGTCAATGACTGCAAACAAGACGCGTGTCACAACAACGGTTCATGTATCGATAAAGTTGGAGGGTTCGAATGTAAATGTCCGCCCGGTTTTGTCGGACCACGATGCGAAGGCGACATAAACGAATGCCTCTCGAACCCTTGCTCAAAACCTGGAACTCAAGATTGCGTTCAGTTAGTGAACGACTACCACTGCAACTGCAAACCGGGCTATATGGGAAGACACTGTGATGCAAAAGTAAATTTTTGCGCAAACTCGCCATGCCAAAATGGAGGTATATGTACTGCTATTCAAGGAGGGCACGAATGCCTATGCAATGAAGGTTTTTATGGCAAAAATTGCGAGTATTCTGGATATCCTTGTGATTCTAATCCCTGTCAAAACGAAGGATACTGTCGCACCACCGACAATGGTAACTACATCTGCAATTGCCCTTCAGGATTATCGGGTACCAACTGTGAGATTGATTCTATGAACGAATGTCTCAGTGGTCCCTGTAAGCACCCGGAAGCGACTTGTATTGACAAACCAGGCGATTACTTATGCTACTGCCCACGGCAATGGACCGGTAAAAACTGTGATATCCATGATCCACATTCGAGAGGAGGTTATGGAAGCCCTGTGCCTGGCGTGTACAACAACAAAAATCCTACAATCAACTTCCAAGAATTCGATTTAGCTATCCAAAGAGAACAATGTGTAAAACTAGGCTGCAAAGAAAAGCAAGGAGACCATCGTTGTGATGAGGAGTGTAACACATATGCCTGTGAGTTTGACGGCAATGATTGTTCTTTAGGCATCAACCCTTGGGCAAATTGTACGGCTCCTATCAAATGTTGGGAGGTGTTCATGAACGGCGAGTGCAACGAAGTATGTAATACACAAGCTTGCCTGTTTGATGGAAGAGATTGTGAAAAATCGCTGCAGCGGTGTAATCCAATTTATGAGGCATATTGCCAGAAGCACTACGCTAATGGTTATTGCGATTACGGCTGTAACAACGCTGAATGTAACTGGGACGGTTTAGATTGCGGAAATGAGCCACCAGAACTCGCCGAAGGCGTGATGTCAGTAATTCTCTTGATGGATATAAGAACATTCAAAGAAAACTCCAATGCGTTCTTACGAGACTTGGGACATCAATTGCGGACAACGATTCTCATCAAGAAAGATCATCTAGGCAACGACATGGTTTATCCTTGGAAAGGATCAACTGACGTCGGATTACAGGATACAGAATTTGGTAAAAAGCACCACGTCGTGTTCACTGAGCGGGCCCAAAGCGGTGTTCAAGTTTACTTGGAAATTGACAATAGAAAATGCACAACCATGTCAGGCTCGGAGTGTTTCTTTTCCGCTCGCGAGGCTGCAGAGTTCTTAGCTGCTACGGCGTCCAAACATTCTTTATCACCGGACTTTCCGATATTTCAAGTTAAAGGTGTTAATACTCCGACTGCAGGAGAGGACGTCCAGACCAATTCTAAATACGTATTTATCGGCGTGATATTAGTTTTGCTTGCGGGTTTGCTAATCGGCGTGTTAGTGACGGCACAGAGGAAGCGTGCAGCCGGTATAACATGGTTTCCCGAAGGATTCGCAAGAAGCAACTCTTCATCGAGACGTAGGTCTAGACGACGGGGACCTGATGGACAAGAAATGAGGAATTTGAACAAAGGCTCTATAGGTTGTATCGACGTGGACATCAATGGAGGTCATATGGGTCCACCACATTGGTCTGATGATGACGATGATGGATCGGCACCGCCAAGGGCGAAGAGAGCTCGCGGTCCGGGTGATGCTAATGGTGCACCAGGTGGTTATGCATCAGATCATACTGCTATTACGGATTACGAAGAAGCCGGACACGATTCGAGGGTATGGACTCAGCAACATATGGAAGCGGCTGATATTAGAGACATCAGAGTGCCACCTAGTATGATGACGCCACCAGCTATCGTAAGTGTATTTTTTATTACAATCGTTTTGTAATTAAATTTTTTTTAGCCACTATTACCCTTTTTTGCATATCGATTTACTTGACTATTTATGCTTTCACCATTATTCAATCAGAATAAAATATTAATCATTCCAATATATTAAATGTCTAAATAGAAATTTGTCTACTTATACTAAAAATACATATATTTTCTCCAGCATGACGGGCACGTAGACGTTGATGCTAGAGGACCATTAGGAATGACTCCACTCATGGTAGCGGCAGTGAGAGGAGGCGGGTTGGACACTGGTTCAGATGCTGAAGATGAGCAGACAGCTCATGTTATATCGGAGCTGGTCGCTCAAGGGGCACAGCTCAACGCAGCAATGGATAAGACTGGAGAGACTAGTCTGCATCTAGCTGCTAGGTGGGTAGAACTAATAATATTTTAAGCAAACTGTAAACATAGTGTATTATTATTAGACGAAGATAGACACTTATGACGTCAAAAGCTAACTTTCTTTAAGCATTACAGAGAAGCGATAACTCTCATCTCAAGTTGCTTCAAATCTAATAAGAAATAATCCCTTAATATTAACTCTTAAATTTGTATTTTTACTATCTAACGCTTATCCTCTGGCATAATGTTTTTTTGCGCAATAGGTACGCTCGAGCAGACGCAGCTAAGCGTCTATTAGACGCAGGTGCAGACGCCAACTCTCAAGACAATACAGGACGTACTCCGCTCCACGCCGCAGTCGCCGCCGATGCCATGGGAGTATTCCAGATCTTACTCAGAAACAGAGCCACAAATCTAAACGCAAGAATGCACGATGGTACAACACCACTAATACTCGCTGCTAGGTGAGTTTCATGTAGATTTGTTTTATGTTTTATGATTTATGATAGTAAAATTAATGCAAGTATTAAGTATTTTATATCTCTCTGTCTTTGTTGTTGTTCTGCTTTTGGAGTTAGATATCAGCAAATCCACTTCAAAATAAGGTTTTATTGAAATAAAGCTCCGAAAACTCTGTGATATGATAGTGCTACGTTCGATATGAACAGAACAGCACAATTCCTAATTACTTTTTATTTCAAATTAAAAGTTAATGCGTATTGAGGAGCTCGATGGCCGGTTATAGGATGGGTGTCAAAAAATTTATTATTTCGGACTCTTCCAAGTTTCGGAAGGTACGTTAAGCCACTGATCCTGGTTTTATCTGCAGTCGTTACCCACTAATCCGCATAATCCGCACTGGGTCTGATAGGTCATGGCAAATTCCCTCTATTTTATTTGATTCGATTCCGTTTATAGGAAGTCCTCAAGAGTGGTAAACTAATCCATTTTTATATTAATTCAGGCTAGCCATCGAAGGTATGGTGGAAGACCTGATCAACGCAGACGCTGACATAAATGCTGCAGACAACAGCGGTAAGACAGCATTACACTGGGCCGCCGCCGTAAACAACGTGGACGCAGTCAACGTGCTACTAATGCACGGAGCTAATAGAGACGCTCAGGACGATAAGGTAATTTAATTAACAATAGTGGAGTATTTAACGCATACACACAGGCACAAAGACACACACACACACACACACACACACACACACACACACACACACACATACACACATTCAAGGTTAAAATAAATATGAAAAAAGTTAGCGCCTTTGTTTTGGCTTGGCCTTGGTAATAAGTATGTTATCATTTATAGTTTCTATTACCTGTTCTAAGATTAACGGGAATATTATTTCGAACAATAAAATGCTGATTATGCACCTATGATTACTAAGTCTTGGTGACATGACTTATTCCACTATTAATTTGCTTAAGACAAAAAATAGTCTATATTTTCTTAGTGAAAAACACTAGTTAAAATCTACTTTGTCTCTGGTACTCTGAGAGGGGATTCAAACCCACGACCGCCGCAGTCCGCGGTCGTAGTTGTTAAGCAACTTTCGCAAGGGTCGGTGACGGGATGGATGACCAAAAAATTACTATCTCGATCTACTCCGTCCTTCAGAAAGCACGTAAAGCCGTAGGTCACCGCTGCATTGCAGTCCTTAGTACCCTCCAATCCCCATTGGACCAGAGTGGAAGGTCATGGATCCATCCTCTTTAACCATCCATAAGGAAAGCCCGAGCCCCTGCAGCGGGGATGTAAAAGAGCTGATGATGATAATTAAAGCAATACTAATATATTAAAATTTTCCCAACAGGATGAGACTCCATTATTCCTAGGCGCCAGAGAAGGATCATACGGCGCTTGTCGCGCGTTGTTAGACGCGATGGCGAACAGAGAAATTACGGACCACATGGACCGACTACCGCGAGATGTCGCTCAAGAGAGGATGCATGACGACATAGTCAGGCTGTTGGACGAACACTGCCCTCGTCCGCCGCCCCAACATCATCATCTCATGAGTAAGTCATGGTTTTTTGTTTTGTAAAGTCTCCTGAGTGATGCTCAAGTACAGTACAACCAAATAAAATATAGTATGTCGCAAATATGTTTGCTCAGGTTCAGATCTAGTTTTCGATAATGACAAAAAATATTGTCAGTCATCTGTGGATACCAATAAGGTGTATAATAGAACGTACTAGGATATACCCAAAGGAGGAAGAGTGCTTGAATATTTTAACCTTTTTTATAGATACACCGACAAACAACACTACCTAATTATTTTTATTGGAAATATTTTTTACTTATGATTAATTATTCAATATATTGTATAATTCAGATACATTAATCTATGTTTTTTGCAGCATCACCAAATCCACATCCGCAACTGATCAGCCAACCAACGGTGATCAGTGCGACGGCGACGAAGGGCAAGCCCAAGAAGCCGCGGGCTAAAGTAGGCCCAGACAGCCCCCAAGATCAAATTTACGACAATAACAACTTGCAGCATACGCAGATAAGACGGTAAGTTCAGCTCACATTAAGATAAATACAAATACAACAATAAACAAAAAATAAATAAGAACCACTACATTACATCGGCCTTTGTCAACTTTTATATAGACACCCTCCTTTAGATCTTTGTACTCTCTTTTACTTCCCTTCATTTTCGAGCGCAGTTTGCCTAGTGCAACCTACTCTGCACATTTTCGCCGTCCGATTACGTTTTATTGACTTTGAATGCTCATTAGATTTAGTGAAAACTTTGTTTTGTTTGCCCAGGAAACCTAGTGTAAAAAAGAATAACAAAAAGGTTGCTCAAGAGGTGCCGCAGAGTGTGGAGAGCCTCGGCTGCAGCCTCAGTCCCGTAGAATCACCGCTGCAAAATTTACAGGTAACAAGACTACTTGAATCTACATTAGTTCAAATACAAACAGTGTAAGGTAAAGTGTAATTTAAATCTAGGAGATATTGAAACAATATTTACAATTAATAATTAAATTAAAAATCTAATAAAGATAGTGAACATGTTAAGACCTCTAAAACTGTCTTTCCTCGATTTATTTTTAAGTCTTAACTTGTTGAAAGTACAAGGCAAAATGTATTTCTCTTTAATGCGATTGATCTAGCTACTGACACGTTTTATAATGTTCCTTTACGACATACTAACGTAGCGAAGTGTTTCCAGGACTTGCCGTCGCCGTACGACGCGACGTCGCTGTACTCGAACACGATGGCGCAGTTCGCCGGCATGGAGCAGCTCGTGCAACACAAGCAACCGCCCAGCTATGAGGACTGCGTCAAGGTACTGTCAGACTTCATTTCAAACCTCTATGGTGGATGGAGTACAAAATTACTTGCGAAAAATTTACATATTGTGGTCTGCACGGCTCACAGATAGCTCACCATCGCCCTATTATCGTTCCTACTGCTGGGGTAGTGGTATACTCTAGAGAGAATCAAATAGTGATCGGCCTATAGTCTCAGTGTGGATTGTAGATGCACCTGGGACCAATAGCTTAACCATCCTGAGAACAGGAAAGGATTAAATAGATTTTGGACACCAATTTTATGACCCGACTTTGTTAAAGTTAATTAATCACATACTATGTTTGCGGTACATCTGCAGACATATTCCGACCTTCCTACCTACATGAAACAGGAAAAACCTTCCTAAACGCGATATGAGCAATTTAAAACTAGAGTAGTTTCACATTTTTCACCAAAACTTGCAATTACAATTCTTGCACTGTCACTGAAGTTCATCATCGGCCCCTCCTCAGTGCAGGGAAGGATGATGGACCACGCTCCACGTTTGCTCAGTGCTCAGAGGGTATTAACGACTGCAAACGCAGCCGGTATGACCAGCTTAACGTGTTTACCGAAGCACGGAGTGGCTCGAGATAAATTTTTTGAGAAAGTTACTTATCCATTACGCCACCGAGCTACTCTGATTTTGAGGTTATATAGCTAAATCATTTGCGTGTTTCAGACGGGTCAGACGCTGCAGCAGTCGTACGGCGGCGGCGCACTGGGCGCGTCGTTATCGCCCCCCTACTCCAATCACTCGCCCACGCACAGTAACCATACAAGCTCACCACACGCTTATATAGGTAAGTTTGTATTAATATTGTATTACCAGTGGCTGATTCATTGTTAAGAACTGATATAAGTTCCTTCCCTCCATTTTTCTTATCAGGAAGGAAGTATTCGAGAGTTTATTTACAGCGAGTGTGATATGTGTCCATTTACAGGCAGCATTATAATAAAAAATAAAACTTTAGCAAATTCTTGCAGAAATCTGACCTGATCTATCTGAACTGAGAACTATGTCCATCAAATTAAATTTTTCTTTCAGACATTTAAGTGGGCTTTGCAGCAAGTTAAGAAAACTTGCACAAGTTCACTTACACAGTTTGAAAGTCGCTTGCGCAAGTTAATGTCTACAAATGTAATTGCTAGTAGACCGCTATAGTCATTAGAGATCCAACTAACAAATTTCAATCTTGCCCATGTCCAACCTTAAGTATATAGACAAATAAAGGATGTATAAGATTTATTCTATTAATATTATAAATAAACCTTTACAGGTTTCTTTGTTTGGATAGAATAATTTTTATCCCACAAAACATTTCCCCAGGGACCACGCGGGCGAAGCCGCTGGCGAAAGCTAGTCTAATATAGAGGAAAGATTTGATTGGTTACATGAATTTAAGATTTTAAAAATTCATTCACCTACAGGGCAGTGGCGAGCCTTCACTTCTTAACTTTAATGCTTGATATATAAACTATTTATTGTTAAATTGAAGGAAAAAAAAATACGTATACGTAACATTTTTCTATTGTCTGACTGACGGACTAAATAGTTTTTTTTTTTTTTACCGAGTCGTCATCCCTATTCCCGAATCAAAAACTGATTGTTCTTTTAATGTATAAATGAAGTTTTTATAAATGTACTTTCCTCTACAGACCGTACTAAATATTATAACCTGTATAGAGGTATTAAAACCTCTACTCTTACTAAAAAGCTTCCAGGGACCACCGATTAGAATTCAATGTGTTAGACACTAGAGTGCATGAAGTTAAATGTTGTTATGTTTGTTGTCAGGATCACCGTCGCCGGGCAAGTCGCGTCCGTCTCTGCCGACGTCGCCGGCGCATATGGCTGCGCTGCGCCACTCCCACCACCACTCCCACCACCTGGACGCCTCCGCTACAGTCGCCGCGTACTCCGCGCTCGCGCATCTAGGTATGTACATTAATTTTAACTGTAACATGTGGCTGGTTTACACGAAATCAAGTCAATTTTAACGTGAAATTAAAATCTTTGCGATCCCTTTTGATTTGACATTTGATAGATATTCACGTACTTCACGCTACAACTATTTGACATGTGTGATATTTTTTTTTTTAATTTAATTTAATGTGTAGAAAAAGCGATAAATGCTCAAAAGCTACTGAGAAAAGAGTTGAATGCTAACTGCAATCTTTCGACGGGTTCAACTAAGTTTTTATTAAAAGTTACATAATTAAGGCCCATGATGTGGTATCCTAAATATTTTTAACTAATCTTTACTTGATCTAACGATTCAAATAACAAAAGAACGGATTAAAATTCATAAACAGCTTTGTTTTAATAGCTGCAGTTTAAACATTTGAAACTATAAATAAAAGAAATGTTTATTTATGAATTTTTACAGGTGCTAACGGTCAACATAATCCCCAGCTGCAAGCTATGATGACGCACGCAGCTGCCCTCGGACAAGTTCAGGGGGGGCAACATCCTGCACTCAGTAGTCTAAGTAGGTTCAATGATATTTTAACTGATTCTTTTTTAATTTTTAACCCCTGATTTATGATTATGATGATGATTAGCTAAGTAAAATTATTGTAAATCTAATATAGCCGGCGGTCTGAGACGACGGCCTAGTTATTGTTTGTGCATTTTCGTGATGAGTATTAAAAGCTAAAAAAAATATTAAATAGTTTCATTCTAAATCCAATATGGCGGACTAGTTAATTTGAAGCAGCTTCATAATATGTGTAACATTTGAAAGAGTTTGCTGAGGAGATTATGATTTGAAAGTGTCGAAAATAAAGATAAAACAAATAACTAGATAATTTATTTACTTTAAATATTTTTCCAGGTCTGTATGGGAGTTGGGGTTTAGGAGAGACGTTCCCGACGCCATCGCCCGAGTCGCCAGACCACTGGTCCACCCCCTCCCCCCAGACTCCGCTCACGCAGTCCCCACACTCCGATTGGTCAGATCGCGCCGCGTTGTCCCCTAACGACATTCAACAAACCAACAAAGGGGCAACCGAGGCCATCTATATATAATTTAATTAATGAAAAAGTTGTTACTCGTTGAAACCCGTGATTTGTTATTTTAAGAGTAAATCCACAATGTTTTGTGACGTTTTCGAAATGTAAATGATGGCTCAAGCCAATAAAATTGTACAGAGACTCTTATAAAATTAAAGGCACCCTGTATATTTGTTGTAAGTGTAAAATGCCATTAATGTATTCGGTACTATAGTTTTGTTTAGTAAAAATATTATCCACACGATATTCGTTAGAAGAGAACGTTATACGGCTCAAGATGTTCTTTTTCCAAAATTACACTATTAGAATTTACGTGTCTTTGAAAAAGACTGTAGTGCAAAAACGTCAAAAGTCAAAATCCTGAGAATTTTGAGATTTTGACAAATGATTTTTTAATGTCTCGATTTGGAGTAATCTCGAGGTGCTAGTGTGCCGTAGATATAGACTGATTTGTACAGCCATGACTACTAGTGTATACATAAATTAGTGCACTAATTATATATACACTAACTCACAATCTCGCCACTCGATAAGACTTTCCTGTGTAATGAAATATAAAGTGTATTAGAAGTAATAATATATTTGTCAGTCACTTTAAAAGATCTGTTATGAAATAGCGCTTATGATGACTGCCTGCTAATATTTTGAACTGTAAAGCAGTTAAAATATAGCGTGAAATATTGTATTTACCTCTTTAAATACTAACGTATTTAAACTTCCGACATTTCGGAATAACTTCCGACATTACAAGAATACTTTTTTATTTAATGCTGACCATTATCACATCATTGTATATTGCATTTTAGTGGTAAATTTTGTTGCCTGTATGTCACAAATCCATTGACATTATTATAATGAAATGCGCCGCAATAGATTGACATCTTCTATTCCATAAATTGTTATTGTTAAATGTTATTATTAACTTGTTTATATATAATTCAGTGTTTTCGATCATTAATTTTAATGGGATTTTAGGATTTCGCATTTTGAGATTGTTTTATAATAATTTTGGGAGCAAATTATTTATGTGTGATTCCTTAGCGCATAGTTTCTTTAATGTAGTATTTTTTTAATTTAGTGCCGAGGTAAATACCAAATTTAAGAAAATGTCATCTCTGATTGAAATCCATCTTTAGATATTTATTTTATAGTTCAAACTGACTTAATATCGAAAATATAATTTTGGGATTTAAGTTTAATTCGATCATTGAGAGTCGTAACTAGATTTGATTCAAAAATACGTTCTGAAGTTGGCGTTTTTTAAAATATTTTTTCTGTATCTTTATACTGAAACAAGTTTTTATTTATTAAAATTTTATAAGCGTCAACTATAGAAGCGTTATTTTATTTATGTTTATATTGTTTTATTAAAGTTTTAAGTATTTTCCGCTTAACTAAGTCATTCCACTTTTAAGCTTCCAGTTAGTTTACCCGAAGCGGATATCATGATAGATTTTGAAAAAATAAACTCATGCAAAATTATACTCAAGAGGTTTTATCTGCTTTTTTGTTTGTTATTTGCACCAATTTTGTTATTAAAAAGAGTTTTATATTAAACACATAGTGCTCATAATACATTCCACATGAATTCCATTCAACCATTTTCTTACGAAGTTTTCCAAAAAGTACGAGTGAAGTACTTTAAGATCTCATCATTCCATTGTTTCGCTTTAAAAGGAACTTCCAAAATTCGTTAACATTTACTTGGGACCATACTCTGTGCTCAATTGTTTATTATAACTCCACATTTGTATGATATTATTATTATTATTGCTAGTTTAAGTTGAATACTTCTGCTGATGTCGTGTGAAATGCTTACATTTATTGTAAATATTATTTTTATCTTTTTTTAAATATAATATTTAAAGGTTCGACAGAATGATCTTCGTAGCGTTAAGTATAGTTTTTAAGTTATATTTTTCCTTCTGTGTCATCGTAAAGTGCCAAGGAGCCAATTGAACTTAAATGTTTAATGAAAAAAGATTTTGACATAAAAATTAAAACTAAATGTACGTAGCTTCAATACGAGTGATACTTCTAATTTAGATATAGTACGAGTACAGATAAGTGAAATGTGTGCTTCCTTATAATGCATTCTCGTTATTACGTATATTAAGATAAACCTGTATTCTTATGAAGTTCAAAATAGATTTCATCGAAGTACAAATGTAAATAACTTTGCCTTAAAAATTATCATTTTTAGACTTACCTTATTTCTGCAACATGATGACAAGTTGAGATTTATTTTTTTATTTTATCGAGGCAAAGGAAATAATGTAATTCAGTTTAACCCATGAGAATGAGTACTCGTGTAGTTAATATTGAAAGGGCACAAACAAATGTAATAAAAAAATAATATGATCTTAAATCTCCGCGTGCCTTTAAATTAGTTATAAGTATAGGAACAAACACTGTAATTTAAACTATTTGGTATAGTTTAGAAGATCTACGCTAGTTAATAAACTTCTGTAAATACATTTTATGATTTATTTTTATGAAATGCATTTCATTGTAAGATTCTAAAATTCAAGGAGAATGAACTTTTAAATATTTTCCCCCTAATTGACAATAAAGGAATAAAAGTATTTTCTGTTTGTTTTCTTTAAATTCCAAATTGTGTGGCAAAGTATGAAAGATATTATCTTACGAGCGGAATCTTTCAGTTAGAAAGAGTGAGAAGATCCTGTATAGTAGTCAAATGCCAGCTGGAAACAAATTGCTGAATCGTTCTGTCTGCGATACTTACTTCCTTCTTGTAATAGCTATTACACATTCTGGATAAGAGATAAATAAATGGGTACCTACCGCGACCTTTTTGCTATTTTTACTGCTTAATTTATGAATCTATATGAATGCCAGTGAGTTGAATTTCATATAGATATAAAAAAATTAACTGTAACATTGTAACAAACGTGTATGACAATAAAATGATATAAATTTAAAAAAGTAACATTTTCTTTAATGTAAAAATGTGAGTTTAAAACTTTTAATGGCGACGTAGTAACATATTCTGGGGTCTCATTGGAGGTACGGGAAAGAGACACAGCGAGTAGCCATAGCAACGCAGTATACTGAAGATCGGGACCTGCCTGGAAAATTACCTTTTTGTTTCAACTTACGTGCCGTGTATAATATAGGTATAACAACATGAACACCTTATTAAATATGTTCATGAGCTCCGGTATGGAAAGAAATTTTCAGCAGCTAATTTGAAGCAGCTTCATAATATGTGTAACATTTGAAAGAGTTTGCTGAGGAGATTATGATTTGAAAGTGTCGAAAATAAAGATAAAACAAATAACTAGATAATTTATTTACTTTATATATTTTTTCCAGGTCTGTATGGGAGTTGGGGTTTAGGAGAGACGTTCCCGAGGCCATCGCTCTTTGGTTACGTTATACGTGTCTCATGGCATTGGCTTACAATCAGTGTTTTGTTCTTTTTGAAAAAAGAGTACACATGCAAAAGTAGGTCCGTTAGGTAAAAGAGTTGATTATATTTATTTATTTTAATATTATATCTATCTATGTACTAGTATGAAGATAAAAAGAGACACGCGGAGTAACCAACTTGCAGATCTTCAAAAGCAAATGCTTATAGACATAATTGTTTACGCATATTTAAAACTATTATCAACTCATAGGAGTAAAGATATACTCTATTCACCGTAAGGTTGTATTAATTAACTAACCACATTTATTTTTGAAACTGTCAAACGTATACCTATTTTATTTTATCTATAGAAAAAACCTAAAGAGTTGCATTTCAAAAAGTTCATTTAATAGTTTTTAAATTGACGATACCAGAGTTTAACAAATTGCAGTGCGCCTACGTAATATATTCCGTAGTCCTTTTTTCTTTGAATGTGGGTATTTAAAAGTTTACAAGAGAAATTTACTTTGTTGTTGATTTTATAACTGTTGTGATTAAAATACTGATTTCATATTAACAAATAAAAATGAGAATATTTATATAATATAAAAGTTGTGTTTAATGATCGAAGTGTTTAATTGACAGTAAGTAAGGGACACTTAATATTGTTTTTCAATTTAATATTTTCTTAGATCGTCAATCAGTACCAATAAGTATTTATAAAGCTAAAAAATAATTCAACATTGAACTAATGTTGAGTTTATTGTCAATGAACATTTTCTCATACAATTTTGCGTAGCAGCACAGATTTTGATTTGCTTTTATTTCAAAGTTTACCCTATGACGAAGTTTCTGTGGGTGAATGCCGTTTATGTCTTGAAATAGTATTAGTAATATTTTATATTCACTCGAATACATATATTTAACAAATTAATAAGACAATATTGAACTAACTTAAATCGCTTACTAATTTGGTAAAACTAGACTAAACTAAATGATGACTCAGCCTGAAAAACTGTCACCATGTGATTTCTAAAGTGGATTTTGCGTGATTGGGACATGTTTTTAGGGTTCTGAGTTAGCATCGTAGCCTTGTTTCCTACAACTATAAACTACCTCTGTTATTTTTGTCTTTGAATTACGATTCTTTTTAGGGTGCCGTACCTTGAAAGGAAAAAATGGAAACCTTAAAGGATCATTTTGTTTTTCGTCCGTCCGTCTATTAAGACCTTTGAGGTCCGTCTATCAAGAAGTGGTGGTAAAATTTATATCAAATACTCAAGTCTAATGTCCCTTGGCGTTTAAAAAAAAAAAACAAACTTGTAAGCCAACACAATCAACACTACTATAAGATTCCGCAACTTTCCAAAAATTTCGAACTCGCAAAGGAATCAAGTGAACCATTAAATTCAGAATCTCGAAATTTGGTACAAAGCAACGTCCTATAGTGCAGATAAAGGAAACAATTCCGAAAACCTTACATTTTTAATTACATCATACAGATTTGTATAGAACCCTCGGTGCGCGAGTCCGACTCGCACTAGCTCGGTTTTTTTTTTAATTATCTGTTTTAAAAATGCAGACATTCCTTCGATTTGTGGTTACCAAACATTATCAAGGGCCAGTCATGGGATGGATAGCCGAAATTATGCAATCTCGAGCCTCTGCTTGCATTAGTTTAGCCATTTAGCCATTGGTTCCAGTTGTATTTGCAGTATTTAACATTCTAATAAGCGCTGGGTTCGTGTTTTAGGCCCGTTATCCCTGTTTGAGTCCACCATCAGCCCTTTTACGTCCCCACTGCAGGGGCTGAGGCCTTCCTTATGGATGGTTAAGGAGGATGGGCCATGACCCTCCACGCTGGCCCAATGCGGATTGGAGGATATTAACGACTGCAAATGCAGCCGGGACCAACGGCTTAACGTGCCTTCCGAAGTACGGAGTAGCTAGAGATAATAATTTTTTGGTCACCCATCCCCGACCGACCCTTGCGAAAGTTGCTTAACGACAACGATCGCGGGCCGCGGCGCTTATCCACTACGCCACCGAGCTGTTTGAGTTCATTCATAGAAAATGTCTGTAAATCATGTTCTACTTAACAGTTACAAAATTGTATCTGCAGTGATCACCATCCACCCCCGCGGCGACATCGGCGTTACGTGGTGTGCCGCTGCCATATCATTGGCGGTGGTGACAGCAACAACGTTGGCTGGCAATAGTGCCGTTTTATTTGCACTGAGGAGGGTGAGGCGAGCACCCGCGCACTACCCACTCGCTAGTTTGGCGACCGCAGACCTATTGGTTGGCGCGTTCGTGCTGCCGATTGCCGCCGCCAGAGAGCTCTTCGTGTTCCATTTGAGTCAGTATCGTAAGTTTTACATTTTTGTTAATATGAAATGGATAATTGTAGATAATATTCAGTGATGGTAATAGTACCTAACTATAAATACAGTTATGGCCTCAGCTCACCAGTGGGCATCGTACGGCTGTTGATGATGTAACACGGTTATTTAATTTTTTATCATTTTTTTTTATTCCAATACCAATTTATAGGAGTTATTCAGCCCTTAACTAACTTCTTAGACCACATTTTACTATATTTACCTGAGTATTATCAGTATACGTTGTTTTGAGATCTTTTCCAGTGTTTTTAATAAATAAGGATCTTGGAGTAAATTTACGCTGCCACTGCACTTAGCATTAGTCAAAATTCATATTATTAAGCAGAGAATTAGCAAAGGTTAGACCTAGTACGAGGTTCTATGGGAGTTTTATTTACTCCTAGAAGGTAGTAGATTTGGTTATTCTCTGTTAATTATGAATTTCAACTAATACTAAAAGTGCAATTTTAGCGTAAATTTACTCTGACGCTAAACCTTATTTATTAATAGCACTGTTAAAGTATACAAGTGATTTTATTGGGGTGTTTATTAATATACAGAGTGATTCAAGTGACAGAGCGAAGGGCACTGGCGGAAAGTTAGTATAAAATATAACAAAAAGTAGTGGAAATATTTCTCATTTAATAAAATCATTAATTCACTTGGCTTATTTCGACCTATAGATAGATTTCACGATTTTGTCTTTAGATTGGCTGATATGCTCCTGCTGGAGTACTCTTGACGTTTTGTGCTGTACCGCTTCCATATTGTCTCTATGTGCACTGGGTTGGGAGCGGTGGTGTGGTATAACTGCACCTCTGTCGAGGGCCCGTCGTGCCCGCCAAGCCAGACTGTACGCAGTTCTGGTGTGGCCAGTCTCAACTGTGGTGGCGATGCCAACTGCTTTCATACCATCACCGAAGCATTTCCACCCGGGTGAGCTGGCGAAGGCATGCACAGTGAACACTAATGTTGGGTAAGAAAAAAATACTAACTGAGTATGCAGTCTCGACATTATTAGCGATCGTTACGTAGCGATCGCAGAGTTCACTGACCGAGCTGTCAAACTCGATCGCTAGGAAACTAAAGAATATCATATATTTTACAGTTGCATTCGGTATGTGCTTAACAAATAAATCTTTAACTTACGATCGTTATGAGTTAGCGACCGGATTCGGTAAGATTGCGATCGTAAACTCTGTCGAGACTACGGACTCTGGTCTTCTGAGATATCTATGGGTAATTTGCGATTAAAAACTAAAACTATCTAAAGGTACACGTCTACAATGTCCACATACATGCAAAGGACGCACGGTACGCAACGGATTTTCCATACCTTTAAACGTGCACCTTTAGTCTATACCTTTATTTGACCTGTCTATGCATTTACTCCTGCTACTAAATCAATATATGAAATTGGATAAATGTGTTTATTTTTTTAATATTTTATCACAAAGTATTTCATTATACAAAGTACATTGAAGGCAATTGGAGCCCGAAGACCAGTTCCCGCGCTGAATTTGCCATAACCTATTACCCGGTTCAGTGCGGATCGATGGGGTCTGATACAGCAGGGACCAGTGGCTTATTGTTCCTTTAAAAATATGGTGAATCTTGATCTGGAGTGCGACCACCTAACTCTCTAGCCATAGGATATGACATCTCAGCAACGTTATGGCAATATTTCGTTTCATTTTACTACTTTGATTACTTTGATTATAAATACGAAAAAATGATAAAATATTATGATAGATATGATGCTAAAAAAAATTACCGTTAATCAAACAATAGAAAAATATTAGATTCTTCCTTCTTTTTTGCTTTAACTTCACAATTGAGGAATGGCGGCTCGCTACGTCACAGCTTTGTAGAAAATGTACTAATGCGTGACGTCACGTGACATTTAACTCGTTTTACTCATTTAATTTATTGATAAAAAAAATGCCATCATACTTATTATTGATTTCACAGCAGTTTTATCAACTTAGTCGTTTATCCATAACATTCGCTAAGTTTTCGTATCCTATCCTATGACTGGAGTTAGGTTAGGTTATCTCATCCCTGTAGGTAGAGAGTTAGACGACCTCACTCCTGTAGGGCAATTCTGCAACTTTTAGCGTATAATTATAGAAAGTCAATAGCGCTTCAAGTACAACCATTTATGACACATTTCTTGTTACTCGATCACAAAATAATAACAAAGTGTATCTGTCATCATTGAATTGTGAAGAAGACATAGTACTCGTACTAATATTATTGGACTTTATGTAGATGGTACAATGACAAGAGATTCTATTGATATGCGATTAATACTTAAAAAAATTACCCTTGGTTGTCTAAAGTTCGAACGAGTCAACCACTGATCAAGCTATGATATCACTACATAGAATAAAGTCGCTTTCTCTGTCCCTATTTTCCTATGTATGCTTAAATCTACGCAACGGATTTTGATGCAGTTTTTTTCATAGATAGATTGAAAAGGAAGGTTTTTATGTATAATACAAGACCATGCTGGCGAAGCCGCTGGCGGAAATCTAGTGTTATAATAACACTAATGTTTTCTATATTAGTAAATGTAATACGAATATACTATTCAGTTTTCTATGTTTAATTGTTTCAGTTACGTATTCTTTAGTACAACGTTTTCCTTTTACTTGCCGGCGAGTGTGATGATGACGTTGTATGCTAGGATATTATTTGCACTAGCAACGCCACCATCGATAAGGGCTCATCGGGGACGCTCACCAAATAAGGTTTCAACCTATGGATTTATTATTTCTTTCTCTTTATATTATTTCCTTTCTCTTTCTATTTTAAGTACAATAGGGATGATGACTGGGTAAAAAAAATGCAATTCTATTTAGTCCGTCAGTCAGATAATAGAAAAATATTAGATACGTATTTTTTTTACTTCAATTTAACAAGAAATAGCTTAGATAACAGGCATTAAAGTTGAGGAGTGGGGGCTCGCTACGTCACAGTTGAGTAGAAAACGTACCCTAACGTGACGTCATGCGAAATTTCAACCCAATGTAACGTCGTAATTTTATGATTACGAAAAAATAAAAAAATACGTGTTTAATATTTTTTAACACTCTACCTGACGGACAAACAAATAAAAATAAGTCATCATCCCTATTCTTACATCTTTAAATGAAAAAAAATTAAGTGAACCAACTACTTATATCTGAGTAATGATTCCTGATCAGTTTTGCTTTATCATGAGTATAATCAAGCTAGAGTGTGTCTGCTTAATCCATGACTCTATGAGATATGACATCTTAGCGAAGTTTGTAATCTGCTTTAATAACGTTTAATGAATGATAAATAATTTTTTAGATTGGACAGCAGTGGGTAATTTAGTCGTTGATCCACCAAAAGACATGTCAATATAATAAAATATATTTTTTTATTTATTCGGTACATAAACAGAAGTACAATTACACCAATAAATAAATGATCACATAACAATGCAGCATGTAAAGCTGTACTTCCAATGATATGTGTACACGTTATTATAAAACAAAATCAAGGCAAATATTATATATAATTCATGCGTAAATAAATATAAAAAAAATGAAAATTCACGTTTCGTTAGTTTCGTCATAATATTCTCTAAGATACCACACACTGGGGCGGCCACACCACTGGTTTTGGACGATTCTGAAATACCGTGATCAATTCAGTTCCGGTTTCTATATGATATGCATTTTTTCTTAATGAGCCACAAATTTTTTTATGGGAGCTTCTGGCGATTATAGAATTAGTTTTACAACTAAATTTCTTGATTTGTTACAGACAACTGTTACAACCGAGAAAGATCAAACGACAACAAAGTAGGTAAAGGTTTTGTGTTGGGTTTATTTATTATTTTTTGTGCGTTCTTGTAAATTTCTTTTAGAAGATATTTATGGAAGACATTTATTTTCCAGGCATGCGTCATCAAAAGATGGACATCTAAGTATAACGCAACATAAAGGAGAATCGTCGCCGAATAAAAAAAATAATATTTCGTAAGTTTCGTAAATAGTTCATGGACATTTTGCAGGCTAATATTATTGGACAACATCACATACGTTGCTCCGGTTCCAAGACGAGTAGCTAAAGCCTTCGCAGTATGGAGTATCTGAGACAACGAAGTTACCACAACTTCTAGACCTGAGACAATATAGGAAAGTCCATTTTATAGATTGATCCGACCGGAAATCGAGTCCGGGACCTCAGAGGTGACACCTTGGAACCGCCTGAGTAGCAAAATTCAGTTCTGCAGAAGTTTCAAGAACGTTTCAGCCACTCGGCTACGGAGGTCGTCAAATATTAATTGTTTTGAACGTGGAATCTTAATAAATTTCTAAGAACCTTAATGGTGAAGGTGTGGTTAGTGGATGATGGAGAAAACTGGCAAAGGAGAATAAAGGGTAACTATCTCTCTCCGGTGTTGTTAGCCCGGGGACCGCGGTCTCCTCATTGTGGGCGATGTAGGTTTCCGTTGTTCTAAATGACTTGTAATATCTTAATTAATAGTGTACAGCGCCATCTCGTTACCGTGTGTTGAAAGTCTTTGCAGTTCGTCTTGTTGTGGCGATCAAAAGATGGACATCTAAGTATAACGCAACATAAAGGAGAATCGTCGCCGAATAAAAAAAATAATATTTCGTAAGTTTCGTAAATAGTTCATGGACATTTTGCAGGCTAATATTATTGGACAACATCACATACGTTGCTCCGGTTCCAAGACGAGTAGCTAAAGCCTTCGCAGTATGGAGTATCTGAGACAACGAAGTTACCACAACTTCTAGACCTGAGACAATATAGGAAAGTCCATTTTATAGATTGATCCGACCGGAAATCGAGTCCGGGACCTCAGAGGTGACACCTTGGAACCGCCTGAGTAGCAAAATTCAGTTCTGCAGAAGTTTCAAGAACGTTTCAGCCACTCGGCTACGGAGGTCGTCAAATATTAATTGTTTTGAACGTGGAATCTTAATAAATTTCTAAGAACCTTAATGGTGAAGGTGTGGTTAGTGGATGATGGAGAAAACTGGCAAAGGAGAATAAAGGGTAACTATCTCTCTCCGGTGTTGTTAGCCCGGGGACCGCGGTCTCCTCATTGTGGGCGATGTAGGTTTCCGTTGTTCTAAATGACTTGTAATATCTTAATTAATAGTGTACAGCGCCATCTCGTTACCGTGTGTTGAAAGTCTTTGCAGTTCGTCTTGTTGTGGCGATGTTAGTGCGATATATAAGATGTCGCTACGCATCAGTCACCACAAATTTATTGAATGTTAGTACATAAATGTATTCTTTTGTATCAAACTAGCTGTTTTCTCGTGACTACGTCCGCGTAAATTATGATAAAATAATAGATAAAATAATTTTTAAAATTTTAGAGCTTTTTTGATGCAAACAAACAAACATAAAAGCAATCAAATCTCTCCTATTTACACAAATAGTCTAGATATCTTACCCGTAGGTTAACTGTTGTAGCCTTGTCGTTTGTCGGATTATTTTACTATAGATTACTACAATAAGTAAGGTGTTTTGTTATTTTTTTTTTACCCCAGAGAAGAGATGATAAATCGTCAGCGTAGAGCTACAAGAACTATAGTGATGCTAATGTCTTTATTCCTGCTGTGCTGGACACCGTTCTTTGTAATGTTACCAATTGGTAAGCTTTTACATTTCTTATTGAAGAAGTTAAGAGGATTATGGGAATTAAAAAGACCGGGGGCCACGACACACCTATCACCAACGAATAAAGAAAGTGATGTCAGATATGCCAAAAAACCGACACATATGTACAAAAATAATTATAAATGTCAAGTAATTCAAAGACAGAGCATATGTCACTGGATCCATTGCTCTGACGTGAAAATATATATGCAGTTCTAAGCCTATACCTCAATTATGTCTAGATATTGTTTAGGTTTACTATCTGTATTCGCATCATTAAGTAATGTGTACAATTATTGAAATAGCTGCCGTCGCCATAAACGAAGTTAAGTTTTTTATAGTGTACATTTTAATATCAAAATATAATTTTAAACAACAGTGGTTCATTCAGCCCAGTAATCGGCATTACCGTATACTTGTCCCATCGGGATCGTCATCATCAGAAGTTTACGTTCCCACTGTAGGGGCACAGGCCTTCTTTATGGGTTGGTTAAGGAAGATAGGCCATGATCCTTCACGCTGATTCAATGTGGATTGGAGGGTATTAACTATCACTGTAAATGCAGCCAAGTGCAACGGCTTAACGTGTTTTCTGAAGCTTGAGATAATAATTTTTTGGTCACCCATCAAGTGACCGAACCTTTGCGAAACTTGTTTAAGAACAACGCGGGCCGCGGCACTCATCCACTTAAGCTACCGAGCTATAAGTTAATCGTTATCGAGATTTTATTATGTAAAATAAAAGTTTGACGATGCTTGAATATCAGATTCGCTGTGCAAATGTGTCGTGGATGTCGGCTGGCTTCTGTGTACATGGCTTGGATATACAAACTCGGCACTAAACCCGCTCGTGTACGCGGCTGCATCGCCCACTGTACGGCGAGCCTTACACTCCTCCCTGACCACATCTAGTTCAACGCGACACACTGATATACAACTATCACCTTGTGTACGGAGACCCGGATTTGGTGAGTTGCACAGAACGAGATATTTATGAATTTCATATTAAATATATTTTGTTTAAGGTTTCCTAATGTTCAGTACACAAACGTTTGTTGTAACTGTTTGTTCTTAAATAAAATAAAAAAAAGAACGCCGTACGGCTGGGTATCCATTCATATTTGTTTAACGCGCGCACTAGTGGCATTTTATGATCGTGACTTATTGTTTCCGGTATAGACTCCTGTCATTTGTCTGGAAGTCAGTCAAGCGTTAGCGTAGAAGTATTCTCAGGTACGGTGACAGGAGACAGTCATGGGACAAAATATCACTAGTGTGTGCATAGCTTTTAAAAATACGAATATCGAGTAACAGAAGCGCCATTACAGCCCTAACATTCTGTAAAAATCCGAACCCGAATTCGAATACACTCAGGCGTTCGAATTCATTTCAAAAGCGGCATCAGACCTTGAGTTGGTAATAATGTTTCGTGGCATAACTGATGTGAGCTTCTAAAATCTAAATGATAGAATATCTGAGACACGTACGAAATAATCAATTTTGTTTTGTATTTTTATACGATATATCAATAGAATTTCTTCACTTAATAACATGAATTCAAATTCTACTCATATGTTATTTCGGATTAGTAGCAAGTAGTCATAAACGCAAAATCGTCACGCTTGCTCGTCATTTTCGCAACTAGTCACTTTCGCATCTTGTCATTTTCGCAACTGGTCATTTTCGCTACTCGTCATTTTCGCAACTCGTCACACGAACCTAAAACACAAATAATTTCACTCATTTCACAGCTTTCCTTTAATGATATTGGATAGAGCTTATACATTTTAAGGAAATTCGGACTTCTGGTTTGGATTTTAACAGAACACGCAGGATTGTTCTGCAAACTAGTATTCGTTAAGCCAATGTTGTAATACACGTGTGGCAAGCTGAAAAATACATATATCATATATATGATTGAAAACATTATAAAAATGAAAAAAATCGTGTGTGACGAAAGACCAAGTGAGGCCCTCTAAGCGAAAGCTCTCGCTCGGTGGAACGGCTTAGCGAGGATTCGAAATTAATCTGTGTAGGATGCAAACGCAAATTCTTGATATGCCTAATTTTTACAGAAGTTTATTGTGTTTCAGCAGTTTTAGTACACTTTAGCTACTCAACATCAACACCTATCACTTTTATCGTTTTCTGATGTTTAGTTATTTACTGAAACACTTTTTAGCGTCGCAATAAAACCACATGAGTCCACCAAAATAAATACTCTTTATTTACATATTATTCCATAGTTTGTGTACAGTTCTTTGGCATAATATTACCCATTTAAGTAACCTGGGGTCTTTACCATTGCCTCTTAATGAAGCAAAAGTTAATGCTCCAAATAACTAGAGCCAATAAGTATCTGTACCTCGTGTATTAGGTACTTTAAGAAAATATCAATGATTTAAAACTTAACGCATTGGAGTTTCAATTCAAAATTCTTCACTAAAAGTAAATTAGTCATTGTACGGAAGCAATGAAACTACTATTAAACTAAGCGCACACTGGTGATATTTTGTCTCACCGTGCTTGATTTTTTTGTGGTGGCATACTCTTGAACATTGTGACAATTAAATGAGTTCCATAGAAATGACAGGAGAAACAACAACTCACAATGACGAAAATTCGCCAGTGCACGCTTAACGTCATAAAACCAAATGGCAAATTTTAATTGAACTTTACAAAATATATATATATATTTATTATATTGATTTTTCAACGATATGTATAATTTTGTACTCTATTACTGTATAGTTTTATAAGACCGCCGGTGTCTTTACAAACATTTTTAATATCGCATTCGAAAAATACTGGTTATCAAATTATTCGTATAAATATTGTGGAACATTTACTTTACATTACTTTTTACAAAGGTATTTAATTATATAATAACAACAGATATATAATAACATTATTTACAACTTATAATAAACTTTGAAAACTAACAACCATTGTAACAACTTACTAGCTAAGTGCATGTAAAACTATTTTTTGTTAGTGTATTTCTATTTGTTTATTTATATAATTTAATTCATTTTAAAATAAATATCTATATGAATAATACTTTCGTTTGATCCAAAATATACAATTTAAATTAATATAATGCTGATGCACTTTGAATTTTTTATTGTAATATACCTAAAATGCCTCTAATAATATTACGCCTCTTATTATTTTAGAATTAAATTTAGAATAACCGCCCACAAATACTTTTATACTCTGATATTGCAGATTATTTGAGTATATATTGATAGTTTGAATTCTTCTCTCTTTATAGACTTATACCATCTCTATCTTGGCTAGATCACTTTCTTCAATTATTCAGGAAAATAAATGTTATAATTTTTTAACTTGTTGTTTGTTCTAAAATGTACAATTAAATTAGGTGCACTGATTAAATTTTTCCTGTATTATAATCATTTCTGAATTAGCTTCTTTCGTTGTCTCAGTATTCTGCATTCGATGACCATATCATCTATTTACATATATGTATTTTGTTTGCACACTGACCCGACTTGATACGTAGTATCTAAACTTATGCCAATTGGTTTGCAGCGTCAGTGAGTCAAAATGGCGGCGGCTATCGATAAGATGGCAGCGGCGTAAAATGGCGGCCGCGGAAGCGAGCCCGCACCGCCGAAGTCACTGGCGTCGGGCGAGCAAGTCTTGCAAGTACAACGGCCGGATAGGCAATAACCTGGCTCATCTTCTTCCGATACACATTCCTGAGGAAGAAAACGTGTTTGAGATAGTGATTTTCATTTGTTTTACTTTCAGATACTTTGTCGCGTTCGTTAAAATTGACATGTAAAATATATATTTTTTGGGAGTTTAGAGCTCTCGTGTATATGCTAAAAATATTTTAATAAATATGATGACAAATAATGTTCCTTTATTTATTGTGATACATGAGGACAACTAAATAAATGTGTTTAAATGATGATACTGATGGAGGTTCAAACTTGCAGTTGTAGAATTATAGTTAGTAGCAGGGCTCGGAAACGTTATTCAAAATAACGTTTTTAAAACGTTTCTTATGGTTCTTTGGGCAAGATTGCGTTCGAAACGAAAACGAAATGAGAACGCTTTAAAAAACCGGTTTAATCTGCAAGACGGTGCCGTGCGGGCTGTAAGGGCGGCGTACATTTATTTTATTACGTTATTTACAGTAAGCGATGCAAAAAAACGCAAAATAAATGGTTAAAAACGTTTTATTAACCGAAAACAATATAATTCTGTTTTTTTCCAAAATCGTTTTTTATATCATTCTGTTCGAACGAAACCGAAACAAAGTGTTTTTTAGGTATTTAAGATGAAAACGTTTCGAAAAATATACCGGTTTCCGACCCCTGGTTAGTAGATATAAATAAATATTTAAAAAATTCTTACAGTTATAAAAAAAAAATATTTACAGTACAACACACAATGCAGCCTTGCATTTTCACGCTAATGTTTCGAATGTAGGGCTCGAGGCGTTATCATCAAACGTATATAATTATCATTTTACATAATAGTATTCGTATGTAAATAAACTGTATCTAAATTCTGTAAATTTTACTTTTTTTTGTGTAATATCATCTCGTACATCAAATGGTCCTTCGAGTCGGTTAGAGATATACATTAGTTACCTAACTGGTAAACAGTTTTGCACGATCATAATCGTATACATTTTAATTTGCAAGTAAATAATTTAATTAATTATTATGATCACGTGCAAGTTGGTATTGCGTTGATATTGAACAGTGTACATACTTATATCTACAGCAAGTTTTTTAATAAATATTTTCTCACATTTTTCTATATACTCTATATATAATTTAGATAAATTTAGAGTAAATAACCTGAAATTTAAAATGCATTCATAATGCAATAAACAGTGTATTGGTGCCAGTTGTTTCGCAGGCCCAATATATACATGTCGAACTCTCTTTAGACGGCTAATGGCAAGTTGTACAAATGTCCATTAGGGTTTAACACAACGAAAGCCAGTCACGCGATATCGCGTGATTTGGCCCGCCAGCCAGTGGCCGGCCATGCGATATCGCGTGATATATTTTTATATCTTGTTAAACCTACCTAGACTCTATTAAAATTAAAGAAACTCTATAGAAAGTAAAGTTAATCAAAGTTCAGCAAACTTAATCAAATTTTAAAGAAACAACAATTTGGCCATTTCCAGAAAATCAGCTTTTCCAGCTGGCATTTAATGTATAAATAACACTTTTAAGCTTTAATTAATGTCAAATTTGTATCTGTAATGTCGCTTTAAACTATTTATAATTTTAATGGATGTTTGTGCAAACGTAAGAGTGTTAATATACTGGAATTTAGGTTTTGGAGATAGGATTGTTCGTAAAAATTATTTATTATTACCTGTTACCATTATATGCTCACGAGTTTGAACTCAAGAAAAATGTAATAAAGTTAAATTACCAATCAAGCCCGAAGAAAAGAATTATTTTTGTTAACCATTAATTAAATCAAGTTCTCGAGCTTAGCCAGCCTTTTATTCATTTGTCTATGCATCGAACCCGTCACAGGAGGGACGTAACTGTGGCGCACCCACCTCGTCCCTGGTGCAGTCCTGTCCGGGGCGGCGGCGGTGCCAGCAGCGCGCGGGGGCGCCGGCGGGGCGCGCGCTGTAGGCGCAGGCGCACGCGCCGCCCAGGCACAGCGCCGCGCCCGGGGAGCGCGCGGCCCCGGCGCCCGCCAGCGCGTCGCACTGCACGTCGTACTCGCACGGCTCGTTCAGCGCCTTCACAGCTGCGGACAAAGAAACATTTTAAAAATGTTTAGCTAATCTATGGCGGGAGACCTTTACTGAGATGTATAATCATTCTTCAATTTGTTTACAAATTATAATATGTCGTTAAAGTCCCATTTTATTGTAATACCTGAAAAGTGGTACAATTTCAATAGGTATAATAATATTATTCAGGAATCAAATAATAATTAATTTCCAAAAAGAAACCTTGCTCCATCTTTTTACTTTACACAGTTAAACCTCAGAATGAGAAATGAGCATAATCTTACATATCGTTTCAAAGAAAAAATAAATGAAGACTAAGACAAAACGTAAGAACTTTATCATCTCTCTATTTGTGTGTATGTGTGTGTTTTAATTTCATGATAGTCCTTGTTTTAAGCAATTTTTATCATTGAAATAGTTCAATAAAAAAAAAACACTCATAGGAGTGTTTAACGATTCGAAGGTGTTGACGTACTTTATCGAAGCATTTCGTATAACGTCATCGACACGCTTTGCATTATGCGTATTTACATTGGACGATATATGTAACTACACGATACAGCACGATATCGTCGGGCTTGGGCACAATCATTACATTATGTTTTCCCATTGTGTCATAATTTTCGCGTCGATATCGGGCGCCGACATAGTTTTCGAAGTAAATATAAAAGATAAAGCAAATATACCTACCTTGTTGACTGCTGTAATTATTACCTCGAATATTCTATTACACTTTTGGTATCACGCGGTTATTTTTTACTAAACACTAGCCAAGCTGTTTGTTATATCGTGTCACATACCGATATCGTTGTCGTCCGAAGCTGACGATATATTAGTATCACGTCGTGTCGTTATCGTCACAGTATCAAAACGCATATTCTCTTTGCTAGACGACGATTCATTAAAGATATGTAAAATCCGCAACGTACCTACCATCCTTTGCATACGTACGGACACAGTGGACGTTCACTTTAAATTAATAGCAGACTATTTAGTGAAAAAAAAAAAATATAATTAGTATAATAACTTAAAAGGTAATGAAGGGATTATATATTGCATGGTCCTTTACATACATTCTACACAGGAGTTGGTCTCGTTGTGAGCCACCCAGTGGTCCCGACAGCGGCAAGTCCCGCGGCACTCGAGTCCCGGGCCAGCGCACTGCAACTGGTCCTCACACTCCTCACCCAGTGTGGCGTCACGAACACACCTAATAAAGTTCAATTCGCATTAAAATTAGCACACAATATTAAGCAAATGGTTATCGACGCCATTTGCTTCAGTATTTTTTTTCTAATAATAAAGTTATTATTAGGAAAATATATAAAAATACTATTTTAATTCTTATTTCCGTTTTTCTTCGAAACTCGAAAAGTGATCGGCGAATTCATTTGAAATTTTTCATTTTATACAATTGATATGGGTTTTCATAATATCTCATACTAAATACGTTATTTTATAAATGCATAAGTTTGTGAGGATGCATATATAAGTAGATCTTTGTTACTTTATCACGTAAAAAATAACAAAAAAAAATGTTGACAAAATTTAGTATTAAGATAATGTAAGCTTGAATTATAGATTTCTTATTTCATTAGACGGGACGGGCAAAGTCATTATACCACAGAACATAGAGAGAGAATAGAAGTAGTAAGTGTGCGGGGCAAACGTCGCTGGCATATGCGCTTTTACTCATATGACGCCCTTTCCTCGGTTTTATGTTTGTCAGTCGTTCGTCAATCGTCGAGTGGTGATTTTACTGATTTTTTCTATAGAAAATACCGTTTTGTGCTATTATCACTTGCAAAAAGCAAAACAAAGTATACAATCTAACTAATGCAAACATTTCCTTTCACTGGTAAGTACAATTTTAGTGCTAAAATATAAAAAACGTAATAATTTGACACAATTTCAAATAAAATATACCTACATTGTTTGCTCAAACCAACATTAATGTTTCTAACCCCGTCTCTAGACAGCAATGTAAATCATATTGTGCACTTTTGCAAAAAATAGTGCTGTGCCTCCATTTGTCTGAAATGTACCGATAGGCTGCTGCTGCTCGGAATCATATTGTTAATTATATGGATCGTAATCGATAACTAAAACAAATTTATTTAGAGCTTTTCTTTTATCATTTCATAACAACGTTATGGATAAGTATATGCCATAATTATATAAAAATAAATACTAGGGGAGACCTAGGTGAGTTGTGACAGAGGTGAGTTGTGACAAGGAGGATTTCTCTCTACCTATTATAGTAAGCGAGATGGCTTTAACGCTTGTATGTCGTTCTCGACACGCGCTACACGACTCAGTACCTGTCGACGGTGCATATGGCACAGTTGCGTAAATATATCGTCAGTGTACAAAAAATTGCGAAAAGTAAGTTTTTCTTCAAAATATTATTTGAATATATATCATATCTTAGTATACGAGGGTCAAACTGAAAGTTCTTAGAACTGGCCACTTATAAACAATATAATAAAAAAATAATTCTAAAATTTGAAAATATAACTCTTTGCCAATATTACTGAGTATATATTTCATTCATTTGTCATTTGTTTTACGATTTGGCGGCAAATTGAAAATTGTCTGTGTCACGTCATCATGAATTTAACACGAGAAAATTTTCGTGCAATGATTTTTTATGACTTTCGATGTCATTTAAGTCAACAAGAAAGTTATGATAGACTACGATTGGCCTTTCACGATGAAGCCCCATCTCGTGCGACTGTTTACAACTGGTTTAATGAGTTTAAACGTGGTCGCACTAATCTCACTGATGATTTACGTGAGGGACGGCCTTCTACGGCGACGACTGAAGATAACATCTGTGTTGTGCGGCGTATGATAGAGACTGACAAAAGAGTGACCTATCAACAGATTCGGACAAGCTTAGGCATCGGTATGAGTCAAGTGCACAAAATCCTCCACGAACATTTAGCGGTCAGGAAGCTTTGCGCCCGGTGGATACCTCATAATTTGACTGAGGCTCAAAAACTCCATCGTGTGGATTGGTGTCGTAAAATGATTGAAAGATTTAACGGAGGTGACTCAAATGCTGTGTTCGACATACTAACAGGTGACGAAAGCTGGATTTACTGTTATGATCCTAAAACAAAAAGACAATCTGCTCAGTGGGTGTTTCCTTTCGAGGAGTTGCCAACTAAAGTGAAGAGAGATCGAAGTGCGGGAAAAAAATGGTGGCCTCGTTCTTTGGAAGGATAGGTCATTTTGCAACAATTGTGTTAGAGGATCAAAAAACAGTTTCTGCAGAATGGTACACTACCAATTGTTTGCCACTTGTCTTGGAAAAAGTTCGAGAGAAACGACCTCGCAGTAGGATCCTCCTTCACCACGACAACGCCTCGTCGCACACCGCCAAGCGAACGATCGACTATTTGGCGACATCAAACGTTGAATTACTGGGTCACCCGCCGTATAGCCCCGACCTCGCGCCTTGTGATTTTTATTTATTTCCAAAAATTAAAGAAAAACTTAAAAGAAAGCGGTTTATGAATGCTGAAGAAGCGGTGGCTGCGTATCGCGATGCCATTGAAGAGACCCCTAAGGACGAGTGGGCAAAGTGCTTTTCCCAGTGGTTCCATCGCATGCAGCGGTGTATTGACGTGAATGGACAATATTTTGAAAAGATATAATAAAACTAATAACTGGCTAATGTAATCAGTTTTTGATTTTCTAAGAACTTTCAGTTTGACCCTCGTATGTGCATTGATGTGTTATTTTTTCTTAAGTTATGTAGTTATTTAAGTCTCAATACGTGGCACTGATTTTTTTTATGCGCATCGTGTTTAGAAAATATGAATTATTATTCGGACCAAGACGTCATTTTGAACACCTAGGCGAGTTGTGACAGCCTGTCACAACTCTCCTATCGTACTCCATATTTCTGCTGGGCTATTTTTACAATTTTTTTTATTAACTTTAGATGTTTGTTGTTGTGTTAGTAGCTACTTAAGGTGTATAATGGCATACCGCATACTTATTTTATTTGAGAATGCCAAATAACTATACAGAGACTGAAAATCTAAGAATGTTAAGAAGCGTGTCTTAAGCGAAGAAAAAATAAAGAAACCTAAAAAACCAAAGAAGACTAATAAGAAGAATAGAACAAGTGATGAAGAAGATGCAGAAAATAATTGCTTTTACTTGGTTTGCCTTAAAGCCTATGCAGACAGCAGATCGAACGATCAGTGGGTCCAAAGCCTTGAATGCAAAGGCTAGGCACACGTAGATTGTACTGGGGACGAGCTGCATTACGTTTGGCATAATTGTGAATCTGATTAGATTAAGATTTTATACTAATTATAACAATAATATGATTGATCTCAAAGCGATACCATATTAAGTTAATGAAAATATTATAATTACTTGTTATGAGAATATTAATACTATGTTGTTTTAGTTGGTAGGTATTAAAAGATGATTAATCAAATCAAATCAAATCAATCTTTATTGTTGATCGCAGGTTATATAAAGATATTGGATGCAAGGACTGAATAGTTATACCGTGATCTGCCTAAAAGGCATACAATATTAGTAGGTTAGTAATTGTCAACTAATCTAATCAATAACATGTTATGTCAAATATTCAATTAATTCATTAAGTATTTATACATTTACAAAGTACTGTCAGCTAGATAGTCGTTTACACTATAATATGCTTTAGCTACTAATAATTTACAAAGTTTTCTTTTATAAACATTACAATTATCCAGATTACGTATTGTTTTCGGAATTTTATCAAAAATTTTTGAAGCCATACAAAAGATACTTTTGTTCAACACAGCTGTCTTAGAGGGTATCGTACACAATTTGTCTCGATGACGCAATCTCGTCTTATTTTCAAATAGTTGTTGATTCTGTTTGACAAAAATACCAACTTCGAATATATAGATTGATGGGAGGGTCATAATATTTAGTTTAATAAAATATGGCCTACAGGTATCCGTACTCTGTAAATGACATATGCTCCTAACACATTTATTCTGGGCTCTAAAGGCAGTTACAGAATCAGTCGAATATCCCCAAAATATAATGCCGTATCGAACAGTTGAAACTACGTACGCGTGATAAGCTGTAAGGACCGTGCACTGATTCGCGATCCTACTAAGTTTGTACAGTGCACAAGAATACTGGGACAACTTTTTGCAAACATGTTCAGTGTGTGTTTTCCAAGTCAAATTTATTATTATAGTACTGATTAAAGTACTGATTTGATAAAAAAACGTGCTTGATTTATTTATGTCGTATATAATGGTATTTTTATATCTTATAGCTTAAATACAATGATGTCACAACTTACCTCGGTACCTGTCACAACTTACCTCGGTAGTAGGAGAGTTGTGACAAGGGGAGTGGACTTGAATATTGTTATTTTTTTCAGAAACTATTTTACTTTAATTAATTTCAGTGATGGTTTTGAAAACAGAAGGAATGGCGCTAAACTAATTCACATGAGTCATAACTGTGGAATGTTTCTTAAGCGAGATAGAGCCCCTTATGTAAAAATTGTCACAACTCTCCTAGGTCTCCCCTACTGTTTAAAAGAGAAAATAAAAGATGAAGTGATACTGAACAGATGAAATAATGAACTATCCAGGCACTTTTTTACGAAGATTCGGTTAATTATTTACACGCAGATAAATATTAAAAAATACTGATGTGCTATAAATATCTAAGTTACGAAGTATATCAACGTTTTATGAACAATATATAAATCAAACGAAACTTCGTGAAAAGCTAGTGTTGGCCTAATAGGTCTTATTAGAAACTGGTGAAACTGGATTTCACTTATTTTGCGTTACTTATATTTCAGTTTCCCTAATAACTTTACAACGGATTGATTGTTTACATAATTTATTTTGTCCTATCCGTTTTAGACCTAAACCTATCAAATGAATTTCAAAACAACATATTATCTATACAAACAAAAAATCATGTTTTCAACTAACGTAATATTGTTGATGGTGTGAATTTAATTTACAAAATTAATTTATAGGCGTCAATTTAATTTACTTTATTATGCTTATTCATAATCGGAAACCATTATTATAGAAATCGAGTTAAGATAGCCACTTTAAAGAACCGCTCACAGAACAGCTTTTATCAGTTTTTTGTTGCTCCATATTTGCACATAAGTTTATAAACGCATGTCTCAAACGGATGTAACTTTATATGTAGATTGACGTTTGTACGTACTTATCGCTTTTGTGTCTGTCTTCAAACTTTTTTGTCACGGCTTTCAAACTCATACTTGACCAGCGATTCCTTATTGTCCAGTCGTTGCAATTAAAAATGTAGGTACTATTATTATTACAGTTATAAAACTTAGAATAATAAAGTAAAACAAACATGGCTATGATCAATTTATTATTGTAATGATCATATTAGTTATTATGAATTGAAATGAAAATATCTTTATTCAAGTAGGCTATTACAAGCACTTTTGAATCGTCCAAAATTTTTTTCCCCTACCACTTGTTCAGGACGTCTTTTAGCTGACAAGAAGAACAAGCGAAAGAAACTTACCAGCCCTTTATCATAAGTAATGATATTTACATAAATCATGTCATTTCATATCATATCACAATAATAAATACAACTTTCAAAGTCTGTAGGACATAGGTTGAACATATAATTAGTCTGTATAGAACAAAGCGATGGCTATTCATTCCATGCATTGCGATTCTTAAAATAATCATCAACTTTATAATAGCCTTTACTCATAAGTATGTTCATTACATGAATTTTAAATTTATTTATGGGTAGGTCAACTACGAACTTTATTGAACATAGCAATGCATTTACCCAGAAATGATCCTCTGGTTATCTTAAGTCTGAAGCTTGGAATGGCAAGTTAATTTTATTTTTTGTGTTAAGATTATTAACACTACTTTTTTTTGAGAAGAAATCGTAATGTTTTCTTGCGTAGATAATATTTTCATTGATGTATTGAGAGGCAACAGTCAAAATATTTCTCTGAGAGATTCTCTAGACCGTAAATTATATATAGCGTGGACAGCTCTCTTTTGTAGAATAAAAATATCTTGAATGCTAGCCGCAGAACCCCACAACAATAGATTATACGTCATTACACTATGAAAATAACTAAAATATACCAATCCTGCCATTTCAACATTTGTCAAGTGTCTAATTTTCTTAACAGCAAATGCTGCAGAACTCAGACTACTTGACAAATTATCAATATGAGAATCCCATTGCAGTCGGGAATCTAGTGTAATACCAAGGAACTTTGTCGATTTCACCAACTCAACTTTTTCACTATTTACATTTATAAGTGTATTAATATGCCTCACATTAGGTAATGCAAACTTTATGTATTTCATTTTATTTGAATTAAGCTTTAAATAATTACTATCAAACCACTGTAGAACATTATCGAACTGAATTACATTTAACTGTTTCATAACAAAATTTAAACCTCTTATTTCATCAACTAATATTATGTCACATCACTAATATGCACAATCGGAATGATACCAGTAAGAAAAAAATACAAATTAGGCTTAATGTAATTAATACAAAAATTCTGTTGGTTTCCTAATTTTTTTTTTTTACACTTTCCCTCGCTTAATTATATTACTCCACAGACATATGATAGAGTTTATCATTAAGTTTTCTTAGTTTTTATACTGCGTTTTTTAAAAGAAGTTATATAGGGAAAAGCGTTATTTTTCAATATTCACTTGGTTACAGCAAAATCTAATCTTAATAGTTCGCACATAAAATGATGTCCCCAATTTTTTAAAATGTGCATAATCTTAAAATATTTCTTCCCTTCTGGTATCCCCGTATACAGCCACGTGACAGTTCAACATTCATGTTAAAGTAAATTATTTATTATCACGTTGAATTAGAGATTGTTTTTAATCGTGTGATTTCTTAGCTTAGTATCTTTTTGGGATTTTGCTTATGTTATCACGAACGTATCGCGTGGCGGTTTTTCATGTAGTGAACAAAATGATCATTTCATCTAATCTGTATTTGTGTGCGGAGAGGCGACACTCGGTTCCCATACTAAATCAATATCATTATACTTCTAATCTCTCTCTATGTTCTGTGCATTATACATTATATTTGAAAGTAACTACGAAGAAGAACATAACAAAAGATGAATATTTGTATTTCTAGAAACCTCATACGTTGTGATTGCAAGACCATTAATATTCTTTTTTAACAGTTTCATGTGTGGAATATAAAAAATACTGTAATCACCTGTGTTAGTGATTATAATCGCGAGTTGGACACGGCCGATAGCGTTTAGGTGACTGACCTGGTTCCGTTGTCTCTGGGGCTGAATTGCAGCTGACAGGTGCAATACCCGCGTACGCAGAACGCCTGTCGCTCCGGGCCACGCTCTCCTAAGTAGCAGTTCTGGTCTACGACGCAACGCTCACCGATCACTGAAAATTATTACCTTTGAAAATTGGACTTTTGTTTGATATACACATTATGAGTTGAGGATTGTTGTGTACAATTGTTTTGATCTGGATGTATATTATGAATAATTTATTTTTAATTAGTAATAACATTACTTTTTTGTAATATTTTTTAATAGTCGAATATGTTGAGCTTTTGAACTCACCAGCCGTCTCGTAACATCTATCGTCTTCCAAATGCGCTGTGGCGACGCACGCGCATAATCCGTTTGCGCACTCAGAATGTACGCCCATCGTGGAATGACACTGTATGTGCTGCACGCATTCTTCGCCTATTTTAGCCTCTGGAAATCAACAAGAATGCCATATGAGTCGTAATAAACATAATTAGGAATTATTTGATACATATTCTTAATGAATTATGCTTAAAAAATTAATTTGTTCCTGGCAATCTGATATGGGACCCGAACCCACAACCTTTCGCAATTTGGGCGACTGCTCTAACCGTAACTTTAATAGACTTGAATAAGTCGCTTTTGAGATAAATATTATTTTTCACTTTTTTAATTGAAGTCTTTTTTCATTTTTTTTTATGTCATGATTTTTAGTGATATTCAAATTTTTATATAATAATTAACACTAAATATACTTTTTATAAAACCGCCTCAAAGCCGTGCTTAAGTGCGAATCTCTATTTTATTAGTTTATTAATATACTCGTACCTAAAACCATCTCCTGAGTCTGACAAATACTATGCTGAAAATTGAAATGAGACTACACGCACTAGGTTTCAAATAAAAAAAGAATCATCAATAGCGGTCCACCCAGTAAAAAGTTATGAGGTAATAAACAGAAAAAAAATACAATCGAATTTAGAACCTCCTTTTTTTTTGAAGTAGTTTAAAAAATTTATCGTCGACATACTGTTACTTCTGTATTATTTTTCTTAGATAACCAATTATCTTTATTATAATTGTCTCTGGTCTGGCTGATTGGAGTACCATTTATGTTTTTTAATTTACATAGCGCTATATTTAGCTTGAAGTCTGAAAAAATGACCTTATTAATGACGTCCAATCAAGTACGACGTACGTCGCCAATTTATTAGTCCATTAGCGGTAAAAGGTTCCTTTCATAAGTTAAGGACAAATTGTAGAAGTTGTAGCTCACCCGCATACTAATTCGCACCATTTATTCTAAATTTGTGTCAAGAAAAAAAATCTAAAATTCTTCACACTTTACTTATAAAATAAACATGTAATTGATGAAATATATACATATATAAATAAAAAAGCGGCACCTTAAATATATTTTCGTTAGTGTATTATTAAATAAATTATAGATTTTTTAAGATACAGCTTTTTAGCTTGTCAGATTTTAGTATATAAGCCAGAAAATTTATTTAATAGGTCCATATCTAAATTATTTTCTGGCTAATATATTTAGACACAAACAATTCAAAGACATTATTTTGAATAATTTGATGATCTAATTAAGAAATAAAAATCTTCATAAATATATTGTGACTATTCTAGCTCGGTGGCGTAGTGGATAAGCGCCGCGGCCCGCGATTGTTATCGTTAAGCAACTTTCGCAGGGGTCACTTTTCGGTCACGGGATGGGTGACCAAGAAATTATTATCGAGCTACTCCGTGCTTCGGAAGGCACGTTAAGCCGTTGGTCCCGGCTGCATTTGCAGTCGTTAATACCCTCCGATCCGCATTAGGCCAGCGTGGAGGGTCATGGCCCATCCTCCTTAAAAGGAAGGCCTGAGCCCCTGCAGTGGGGATTAAAAGGGCTGATGATGATGATGATTCTATATGGGATATAACAGCGGGTAAAATATAGTCCTTGCCGGAGTAAATATTTTGCTGATTGTTTTCTATATAAGATTTCCTACAGTAGATTTCCAAACCGATGTCGGAGCACAGGTCTTGCTTATAAATAAAGCTATGTTAGAACTGGCCCTAAATTACGATGCGCGCCCACTGCGGATTGGTGCAACTTTTCTAAGTAATTTTTGGTCATCCATCCCATTCCTTACCTTTGCGGATGTTGCTTAACTTCCGCATCCCAAACCGAACGCGCTAACCAAGCTTCTTATATGCCGATCGTATAGTTTGATATTCCGTTTTTGGTTACATTTCCACGTTAACTTTAAAAGAAGATTTTATAATGCTTTGATTTCGTAACCATTAACTTCATTACCTGATACGCTTTATTATGTCGTAACAAAAGAAGTTTTACTTGTAAGTAATACAGTCACATGATATTATGAAACGAAGTGCGAGATTGTTAGTTAAATTATGTTTATTAAGAGCATCTGTGATAATTTTTTATGACGAAATTTTATGTCTACACCAACCGTTAACGAAGTCTAAACTCCTTTGACAATTTTGACATGTTAAATTACATGTCAAAGGAGGTTAGATAAACGATTAAAACCTTAAAGAAGAGTTGTTTTTGTTGAGATGTTTCCCAGTTCAATTACATCATTCAGTCATTTAGGGTTGCAGGCGATTTTTTCGGCTTACTTTTATTGTTTAGTCATTTTTATTTTGACCAATGAGATGAGATATCAAAGGTCTAATCAGAGGAGGATTTTGTTGTAAAAGTTAAAACTAACTTTGAAAAATTGGAAATTTATAACCACAGAAGTGTTTTACAAACTTTTTCTTATATTTTCACGCGCTATATTAATTAAATTAAACAACTTTAATGAACTTAAAACAAGTGAATTCATTTTAAAATAATTTAAAGAAAAAACCTAGTCCGATATATTAGTGTATCTCGAATCACTTACATAACGGTTTAAGTTGTTTTTTTTTTAATAAAGAGGATAAACTCTCGATTGTGGCCGCTGATCTTTCACGTTCATATTGTTTTTCTTGCGTCTCGCTTTCATAATAAACGAACCCGCATTACAATTCTTTTCCGTCCGCTCGTTCATTTATTTCATTAATTTATTTGGATTCACGATCAAAAGTCTCCATCAGTTATACTAACTCTTCTATGTTATCGATCTGTACCTATGATGGACATTTTATTACGATCCCAAAAAAGGTTGTAACTCTTTGCGATTTTATCAATAGATCACCAAATGTAATAGTTTATTTAATTATTAATAACAAATAAAATGTATTTTACAATCAAGCTTATAATCACAGTAATCGTATAATTGGCATAATTTTTTCTTACACTTTTAACAATTATCGTGACATTAAATTAATATATTTATGAAATATTTATAAATTAACTACTTTATCGATGTATTGAAAAACTTTAATTTGCCTACATTTTCTCCACTCAATATCTAACGATTGTTTTATTTAAATTATTTTTCTTTGCTTTAAAACGAAATGATGTTGTTATCCAACTGATTATATAAACGAACAATAAAAATCTTGTCTTTTGCCAAATGACTTTGATTTCACTGGGGTTAACCGCAATGACAGATTTATTTTTATATTTGGTAACATTGTGAAAGTGTTGCTAAGTCTTTACGAGAGAAAATGGTTCAATATGTTTTTAAGATACTGTTTATATACTAATCGTGTAATTATTTAATATATTATTTACCTACAAACAATTTTCTTATTTCAATAAATGGATATTTATTTCAAATTATAACTAATAGCTTGAAATGATAAAGAATATTACTATTAATGATAAGTAATTTAAATAACCTGTTAAGTGCGAGTCAGCCTCGCGCACGATGGGCACGAAGGGCGTCATATCGAAAACGAGTAAAAAAATCACACTTGTTTTGGGGGAGCCCCCGTAAATATTTATTTTATTCTGGTGTTTTGTATTTGTTGTTACAGCGGCAATAAAAATACATAGTCTGTAAAAAAAAATCAACTGTCTAACTACCACGGTTCATGAGAAACAGCATACCTTAGTAATAGAGGTCCCGTTTTACCATTTGGGTATGGAACCCTAAAAACAGTAAAAATCAACATCAACTACTGTTTCACGATAATGTCAAAATATACGTCTTTTCCATTTCAGCAAAGCGACGTTAATTTTCGATTAGCACTTTTATATTCTTATTGAGAGATGGGCGACTAAGTGAGGGTTATTTTAATATATTTGATGCAAAAACATTTTGCTTAGTCATATACAGTTGCTGAGTTAATAAATCAAATAAAATCTTGAATAGTTCACAAATAAACGAAAGATTTAGAAAGCACGTTATATGTATTTTCTTCGTTATACTTTTAGAAACGCGGAAATCCGAAAAACAACTCGGATATTAGAAGATAGAGCAGATCCATAAGTAGACATAGGAGCAAAGGGAGACCTCCAAATTCTAAAGTAAGTAGGCCCATCATAATTATGGATCGCAGAAATGATGTTGGATCAAGGAATATTAATCTGGTAAGGAGATTTAGATCTAGATTGGTCGATCAAGAAAGGTCAACTCAATGCGGATATTTAGATTTGAATATAGAACTACAGGCATTTACTGGATGAGATGATTGGATGGCATTATAAAAGTAGCAGGGATGAATAGATAGCAACATCGAAAATTTTTATTTTGCATTATCATTCATTTGATATACCTAATACGTTGAGCTGGAAGAATTTTAAGTCAATCAAATCACATAATGGGAAGGTTGATATTTTATGTACATACCTAATAAAGATAAATGTAGCAATTATATGGATGTAGAAACAATTTTAGATATTGGATAATTATCGCATGAGGATATTGTTCCTCATCGCGGCTATATGTAGCTCGCCTTCCGTCTCACAGTTCGCTTTAATATAATTAGTTTGGTGCGATATGTAGGTATACTATTAGCTCCGTTCCACTTGTCAAGAAAAATAAGCACTACTACACATGTTAAATGTGCCTGACGCAAGAAGTTGAGAAACTGGGTGACAATACTATAATTACCCAGATTTGTGACGAATCACAATAGTTTATTAACTATTTTGAATTTATAATCAAACAAAGATACGCAAAGTGGTCTACAAAAGTTCATTACCAATAAAAAACATTTAGTTCTACGTTATTGTGTCTACTATCGAAAATTAATTTCTCACCTTTGAGGCAGCCTTTATGAGTGGAATTGATAGCAGCATAAACGAAGCCGTCTTTGCAAACGCAGTAGCTCCCCTGCCGGCAGAACGCATTGTCAGGGCAGTCCATATCGACGTGACATACATTGCCAGTGCGTCCTGAAACACAAATTATGGGCCTTAGTAAATGTCTAAATGCGTATGCGTCTGTAGTGCACTCCAGAAGCCAAATTGAGCCCACATTAACTATAACAACCATATTGATGTTTTTGAGATGTATCGCTGGAGAAGAATGCTTTAGATCTCATCGACAGCTTTCCGCACAAACGCGTCTATTTTACATGAACTAAATGTAGATGCTCGACTCTTCTCTCTGTTTGCGAAGAGTGCTTGAGTTCTTTGGTCACATAGCTAAAAAAGAAGGGAGCAATCTCGAGCAACTTATGGTCAACGGAAAGGTTGACGGCAGAATACTTAGAAGACGTAGCTCAATTAGGTGGACTGATCAGATCATGTACGGATCTGATCTTGGACATTAATCCGCACGTTGCTCTACATTCGGCTAAAAAGAGGAACAGATGGCGAACAATTATCAATTATCAAGTAGGTAATCACGACCCTCAGTAATGAAGACAATGACGCGAGGCAGAGGAACTATACTTAAATTTTAATTTTATTAACTTATATCTATATTTCAATAGGTCCAAATCTCTCCTAAACTATGATTTTAAATAAATTTCTAGATTAAAATTTTTGATACCTTTTTCATAAACAACGCTATATTAATATTTATCTTCAAGAAAAATACTTATAAAAATTGACCAGAGTCTGGGCATTTGCAAGCGTATAATATAGGTATATATAAGTGTAAACTTACACTATATTATTAAGGTTACTTGGTAACTTGGTTTAAACCATTGAGCGCTTTTAAAGCAAATTGACAATGACAGTATTGACTTGTTTTGGTAGGATAATAGTTTAATCCTGGTACTAAAGTTAGTCCTCGTTTTATATTTGATATACTCCTAAACTTGCATCTTAGCTATTTGGAGTAGAATAATATTGATATTACTGCTGCAGTTATCTGCAGTCGTTAATACCTAATCAGCACTGAAAGCACGTGGTGGGTCACGACCCATGGGCCATGGCCCATTATCCTTATTTGATTTTATTCGACTTCATCCATAGGGAAGGACTGAGTCCCAGCAGTGACTTTAATAGGCATGTTGAATATTGTTTCCCGTATAGACGTCTGTTCGTTTCTTCAATGCCAAATACCAGATAATATGCTTCTCATATTCACCAATCGATAATGGCTTATTCACACATCATCAACCATTATGATTGGCATTTGAATTATAATAAACATAATAGAATAACTTCGTCTGAGCAATGATTACTGATCTCTGCAAATAAGTTAACAAAGAAGTGACAGATTTCATAATCACTAAGGCATTTTCATACTCAAATATGATTCTATTGTCGCGTTGTGGCACAAATGCTTTACCCATTAAATTTGGCAACTAAAGCGAATTGAGAAATTTGAGATCTATGCGATGAATGAAGCAAATTACACACTAATACATGTTCCGCGTAAACGTAATTTCAATTGTGCCATCACTTTACTGAGAATTATCTATTCAAACGTCGAGAAGTGAGTGATAATGTGCCATTTTATCTTGCTCGCTTTTGAGGTTTTATTTAGAGTATGAATTTTTATTAGATGATGTTCAAATTTCTTAATCCTCAAATCTTTATAAAGAAGTTATTTAAAAAGTTTATGACTACTTTGAGATACTTAAAATTAAAGATAAAGATAAAGATATTTATTGCTTGAAATATGGTTACATACATGGATGTTCATTTGTCATAAATAGGTTCACATATTTCGCCGGATACCCGACATGGCAAGTTTTTTTTTTTAAATACTAGAATTTTAAATTGCAATTACATTCGAATAAAAAAAAATAGATAATAAAATGTCAATTTACAATGATCATTAGTTCATTAATTAAATCATCACATAAAAATTAAAAAATATATAGTATAAGAACTGTCATAATATGTCAAGGTCTACAAAAATATTCCTTTAAAGTATAATTGTTTTTTGATACCAGCCATGCATGCAATTTGTATTTAAATTACACTTCAGCTATAAAAAAAAATTAAGTTAGTAATTCCGTATAATATTATTGTACAGATCTTTAGACTCGATATTGTGTTTCATTCTCAATTTATTTGGAATAATGACACACTTGCACTATCTTACTTTAACAATAACAACCACGTTAAAGTAACAGGTAAGCAAATAATCAGTTGCAGCATTTGGTTAGATGACGTCATTACTTTAACTGTTAAATATAACCGCCCAAGCTTCGCTGGTTAGTTATTGTTTTTCTATGTCAAGAAACAGGATATGGCAAAGCACTTCACAGTTAATGTCAAAATCAGCTGGACAGTAATTGTCAAATTTGACCTTAAACCTAAACTCTTATTGCTCTTATGGTGCAATCCAAACTTAGAGTTGCTATGTATATTTTTAAAAGTAGAGTAAAAGTAATATTTCTGTTGTTTTTATATTTATTTTGTGATCGTTTCCTCTTGCTGTATCATAAAAACACTCGTAGGCAACTAAATTTTCCGTGTACGTGTAATAAAATAAGTAGGTCTAAAGTATTATTCACAATATTTACCATGGGTATTTTTCGCTTACACAAGAGTTATAACAGGTGAAAATAAAACTTTAAAAACATTATTGCCATCATTAAACAGAAAAAAAATTGTGTGCTTCACCAAAAAACCAAGCGAAAATTGAATTTCAACTTTACACCTTGTTGAGTTACAATAGATATCACATTTGCAAACACACCGAGTGTTGTGAATATAAATCAGATGTCAGATAAGGTTGTTTGTCAACAAATGTTTACAGTCAAACCAAGTGAGCTTAGCAACCGAAGCATTGTCTTAACAGTTTTATGACACGGTAATGTATTTCAGTTCACTGAAGGTTGCTTTGCCCAAGGTTAATTGGTGTTAATGATAAAAAAAATGTATTATAAGTAAGGCAAATTTATTTTGTAGGGACACATTTATAGATAAGCTATTGTATTTCTTAAGCATACTTTATCATAGGCTTAATTAAATAGTTTTCCATCTGATATTAAACGCTACACTCTTAGCTATCAAAGATCTTAATTATACTATGAAAATCTTCACTGTATGTATAATAAAATACTGGTCTTTCTTATGGAGAGCGATAAATGTTTCCTTCATTAAATTATGTTATGTCGTTAGTCCATCTAAGGGAGAAATGCATTCAGCCTCGACTTCTCTCTCGGTCTTCACTCTAGTAATATTCTGGTCCAATATTCTGGTCTGGTTGCCTATTTAATTCTAGACGTGTCTAATTCTGTCGACATATGGTAGTGACAACATTTATAACATGGATTTTTTTAAGAATGCAATCGTTTTCTTTTCGATCCAAAAGTATATACCGAATGTAGCATATTCTATTTATCATTGATGAACATGTAATAGTTTGGTCGATTTTTCCATTAAAGTTGCTGCCGCCATCCCATAAGAGAGTACTGGCAAGACACATTGACATTTTTTATATCGACAAACGTATTCAAACAATCTATTAATCATCAGATATAATGATACATCATGATAAAAAAACTGCAGCAATTAATAAGGATGTTAAGCAATAAACCTCAATTACGAAATATTAATAATGGACTATCAAGAAGTAAAGAATAAATGTCAAAGGAATAACATATGATAAAGGACACTTTCTCATAATTTTCACAGGGAATTAAATTTGGCATGGATAAAATAAAATAGTGCTTTTTCCCATTACAATTAGTTGTTAAATCATCTTTTAATGACAGGAAAAGACAATGAAATGTTGTCTTTGATCGAATTCAGACTACGAATCTATGAAACGGACATGTTTAATGTAGTTAAATATAAATCCATTATTTAACCGAAAGTAGAAAATGTGATTTTCAAGAGATCCCTGTACATATAGAGCGAAATAATGAGAACGGACTTATTATTGATAGATAACAAAGAGTGGAATAAATTTTAAAATCGTTTATAGAAGTGCCAATCTGTAAAAATGAAATGAGTCCTTTTAAAGAGAGTACATAGATACTCAAAGAACTTTAATTTTCTAAGGAAATCAGTTCGTAAGCTTTTCTGGACTTAATAAGGATGAAACTTTAAATTAACTCAATAGGGATGACGACAAATTTTTGTTTGTTTTTCCGTCAGATAGATTGATGATTTTTTTTCCTAATCATTAAATTACGGCGAGATATTGAGTTATAATGTCACATGACGCTTGGTACATTTTTTATAAAACTGTGACGTAGCGAGCCCCCACTCTTCAACTTTAATGCCTCTTATCTAAGCTATTTCTTGTTAAACTGAAGTACAAAAATACGTGTTTAATATTTTTCTATTGTCTGGTTGACGGTCTAAATAGAATTTCTTTTTTTTTATCCAGTCGTCATGCCTATCACATTGTTAATGAGTGGAAAATACATCTTGATCGAATCTAAAGATATTAAAAGGTTTTATGATATTCAAGACTTAAAAATAATTAAGGGCACAACAATTATTGATTATAACAACAATTGTCAGAATAACAAGCAATGCGGTGACATCTTAATAAACAATTTACTTCAGACAACAATGGAGAACAACAAACTATTGTCAACGTTTGTTTGGCCTACGCTCATTCTAATTTTAATCGATTGGAGCGCGTCTAATCTATGGCTGTATCGTCGGAACATCATTCGTCTCGAGTCGTTCGCATTTTGAATCAATTGTAGATGGATAGCGGTAGAATTGTTGTGGCGTAAAAAACTGCATTTTACTGCGAGATGGAATGCAAAATTACTATTGTCAGTATTGATAGACTGATTAATTCAGATTACGATAGAGAGCAGATAAAGTCTAATCTTATCTAAAACCTTAATATTTTAAAAGACAATCTTAATTACATTAATAGAACGATCTGAGTTGATGATAATATTAATATGAGGGGAATTGCTGTTGTCAAAGCCTTTTCAGCATTTGAACTAGCTCAAGTAACTACTAAGTTAAATGGGAAACAATCTAATGTGGAATACAATCTAATCTCATTGGTTCAT